CCCTTGGCAGCCATTGCAACCAAGGTATTGGAGAGAAAGAGTCTCAAGTTTGCTTTATAAAAAAACGTGAGCATAGAATATAAAATCTATAGAACTGTAAAGTTGTTTTGTTTTGTTGTGCATTTTAAATAGCAAAAATTATAAATAAAGCAAGCTGATGATTTGAATTTGCCACGCAGCGACCTTAACTTTTTCAAATTTGTACGAGGGTTTAAAAAGTATGTTTTTTATAAAAAACATAATCAGAAATTCTAATTTTATATTTAAATTAAACCATTTTATTAAACTTTTAAAAATAATTAAAAGTTGAAGTTGCTTAATATTCATACAATAACGAAATTTAGAATTATTTTACCACGTTAAACATTTAAAACCGTGTGCGCAAGAGCGACAGAATTTAGATAAACATCAAAACAGTATTATACTTTATTATTTTTTGGCTTTTTATACTTTTTGGCTGATCCTTTATCTAAACTTTAAAATAAGGGATCGTCCATAAATTATGCAACACTAAATTTCACAATTTAAGTAAGCAAAAATGATCAAAATTTTTCCTCGCAGAGTCATATGTTAAATAAAAAATTTATATAGCTCAAAGTTTGAAGAAAATTGCCATCCTAAAGAACTAAAGATCTCTTCTGCTTTTTTAAAAATAAATTTAGTGTTGCGTAATTTGTGGGTGATTCCTTAGTGTTTTATAGTCTATAGTTTATAATGATCTAAGATCTCCTTAGTTCTGCTATACTATTATAAAATAATATTGCTATTATAAAATAATAATAAACTGCTATACTGTTTTAAAATTTTTGCTATGAATATTGCTGTAAATAAAGAAAGAATGAAAAATTTTTAAAATTTACAAGGGTATGTCTTTAATCCCTCAAAACAACACTGCTGAAAGCGCTCTAAACCACTGAGCTAACAATGATATGCGTTTAGGAGAAAAGCAAACCTAATTATAAATCTCTTATAAGCTCTAGGTATGCTGAAAGGGTGCGCATGTTAACTTTTTTGCTCTTAAACAAATTTTTTTCAAATTAATTATTTTACGTAAAATATTTTACGTAAAATATTTTACGTAAAATATTTTACGTAAAATAATTGAAGCAATCAATTAATCAGCTAGTTAGTATATTATTGTTTCTGATTTCATGTTGTAAATATTTATTTGCTTTATTTGTTTTATTTGCTTAACTATTTAATAAATAAATGTTAAATGTTAACTATCTGTAAATAAAATAAAATTTAATTACCTTTTAATCATGTATAAAAAGGAAATTCACATCCAATTATATGGATACTATATCAAAATGTTTGAATAATTTATCATAAACTAAATAATGCTAATGGTATTTCTATAAAAAATTTATTTTGTAAAATATTTGAATATATTTAATAGTTGGAAAATATGAAAAAGTGTTCTATTGGATTAGAATGTAATGTTGACTTTCACAAGTAAGGTTTAACATGAAGACAAAGTCTTTTAGACCTATCAATATTTTTAAGTGATGAAAAACACAAGTTGTTATGGAGAGCTAGTTTATTTGATTGTGGAAATTTGTTTACAACAGTTTGATATTATCATAGAGAACACTTTGAAGTTGCATTTGAAAGAAAAATTCAGAAATGCTGTAATCTATTTAAAAATGATGGAAACCAAGAGAAAAATGTAAAAGAAATGTAAAAAAGTATAAAATATAAAAGGTAAAACTTTGATATTATTTTGATGATTAGAATGATTCAAGTAGTATATATGTAATTAAACTAAAGAAATAATAAATACTTTTTTAAGAAGTAAATAAAAACCTTTTTATAAATTTAAAATTTAAAATTTTATAAACCAATAAATAAACTACTTAACAATGTTTAAATATGTTCTCAACAACGCTTTGTTGATATTAGTTTTTAAAGATTAGATTTTTAGATTGTTTCTTTTTTTTTATATAGAATATGTGAAGATATTGTTATCAATGGCAATAACTTTTAAACAAAAACAAGATATTCCTGCTGTACCTGGGTGGAAATTATGCAGTAGTTGTTACAAAAGGGTACAGAGTATAAATAAAAAGTTAGAATTAAATGATCAATTCTATAGCAGAGTTGAGTCTGAACATGAAAAACAAGCATCTCTCAATGAAAGTCTTGAATTTATAGGTGTGTCACCTATTAATCAGTGCCAAAACACCAACGGTTACCATCTGCCAAAAGAAAATATGATCAAAAAACTGAACTACAAACAAAATAAAGCCTGCAATATTGATTCTATGATTAGATTGACACCATCCTGTACACCACTAACACACCATCCTGTACACCACTAACACACCATCGTGTACACCACTAACACACCATCCTGTGCACCACTAACACACCATCCTGTACACCACTAACACACCATCCTGTACATCACTAACCCACCATCCTGTACACCACTAACACACCATCCTGTACACCACGAACACACCATCCTGTACACTACTAACTTCTTCAACTGATAACTGTAAAATTGACTAAACTCGCTTTTAAATGAATTAAAAGATTGACTAAAAAATGTGACATCATACTCCACAAAAATACAGATATTAACATTAACTTAAAAGTCATGGTCACTCTCAAAATCTGCAGAATTTTTCAATGTATCTATTTACATTATATGAGAGGCTAGAAAAACTAAAAAAAAACATGGAGTTTTGTATAAACCATCATCAAAAAAGGAAAGTCATTTTCCCATGCAACCATTGGTGTTGTTCATAGTTTTTATCAAAGAGTACATACGAATGATGCTTGGAAAAAAATATTTTGTCAGTATAGGGTACAGGCAAAACATGCCAAAAAAAAAATTAATATTGATTAATTTTAAAGAACTTTATGTAGCATTTAAATCTGAACACTCTAATTTAATGTTGGATTTTCATAGTTTTGCAGCCTTCTCCCAAGAGGATGTGTGTAATCGCAAACTTGTCTGGCACTCACAATGTTTGTATCTATCATCAGTATGTTGAGTTGATTACTGATGCTCTTAAAATTGACAAATTATATAGAGATTTAATGGGAATGATTGTTGCAGTAGGGATAATGCAGAGTGTTACATCGATGTCTGCTATGTTCTGGTATCACTGCTTTAAAAGAATTTTTAAGAGTAAAATTTGACAACACTGATAAAGAAATAACTAATGGCATGGTACAGATAGAACTAAACTGATCAAATAAAAAATCAATATTAAAGATGTTATTGACCTTATATGCAATAAAATAGATAAACTAACATCTCATTCTCTTATAGCTAAAAGTCAGGCCAAAAGTACTTAAATGTACTATGACCTTAAAGGCTGTAAAGAGTTATTAAATCACAATGAGTGTATAATATTGGGTGACACAGAACTTTTGATTTATTGTTCAGGATGAGGTGCAAAGTTACCACTGGAATAAACCAAAATGTTCACTCATCCTATTATTATATACTATAAACCAAATGCTAAACTGATATTTAACACATTTTGCTTCCTTTCTGATATATACTTTGATTTGCATGATGTATACTTTGTATATGAAATACAACAGCTCATTACCAATTACAATAAAGTAAACATTTTACAAGTTAGTAATATTAAATACTTCACTGATGGATGTGCAGCACAATATAAAAACTGAAGAAAGAAGACTTTGATATTGATGCTAAATGGTTTTTTTTTTGCTACAAGCCATGGTAAATTTGCTTGTAATGGCATTGGGGGCACAGTAAAGCAAATAACTGCACAAGCCAGTTTAAAAAGGACAGTGGCTGGCCAGATTTTAGATGTAGATAAGATGTTTGAATTTTGTGTAACCAATATAATAAACATTCAATTCATTTTGGTTTATAAAACAGAAATAAATGAAGTTCGATCATCATTACAACCATTTACTATGGGAAGAACCTTGCCCAGAACAAGATGCTTCGACCATTTTATACCAGTTAATATATGTACAGTTCTTTTAAAAGGATGAGTCAACAAACTCATGTTCAGACATATAACCTTGTGGAGATATCAAATATGCACAAGGTTAAATGGTTGGGCAGCAGGTTATAATGATATGGATTATATAGCTGCAAGTATTAAAATTTTTGATGGATTAAAATTATAACCAAAAAAGATGAAATAGAAGGAGATTAAAAAATTCAATTTGTACATCCACATAGTTCCAGTCCAAGTTTTTCTTAGTCCGCATGGGAAGATATATGCCAAGTCCCATCAAATCATGTTTTATGTACCATTGATCTGCCATCTTCAACAAATGGTTGCATATATAAAACTTCAGTAACTGAGTTAGAAAAAATTATTGAACAAAATAACAAAGATTTATTAAAAAATTTTTAATGCATTATTATTTTTATACTTGTTTGTTATTTTTTCATATTTAGTTAAAATATAACTTTATGTTAGTATGTGTAATTGGCACAATATGGCTCCTCAAAAATTCTTCCAGTCACTTGTATTTATGTTTTTAACAACAAACAAAAAAAAAAGAAAAGAAAAAGGGGTTGGTAAAATGCTTAATTTCCCCCCCCCCCCCCCTTCTTTAGAACATGAGCCATTCCCAAGTCATTGCCATTCCCATTTTAAAAAGGCTACTAAAACGTTTTATTGGATTTTCTTCTGATATTTTAAAATTTTTTTCTAAAATTGTTAGTTTTTAAAATTAATTTTTTGGCCTTTTTCTTCAATAAACTTCAATTAAACTTAATTTAATCTCCAAAATTTTCTTCTTTTGATGTTCTTTGATAATATCTTTTTGCAACTTTTCTACTTTTTCGACTCGTTTCATTAACTCAGCAAATTCAGTTTTTGAACCATTTTTTTGAACCAAATAAAAATGATATAAAAAATTTCCAGAATTTTTTAAATAGTAAAAACACATCTACTAACTACATAGCGTGTATAATTAATATACAATATTTTAATATGAAATATATATTTATATAATTTTATATACTATATAATTTAATTTTGTTTTTCCAGTTTACCGAAATCAACAATCAGCAGTCTGTCCAATCAGCAGCATCAACAACAGATCATTTTGGTAATAAAAGTCTTTTTAATAATCCTTATGAAAGTTCATCACAGACATCTGGGAAATTGTTTGGAAATTCTTCTTCAAGTTCTGCAAATTTTTTTAATTTGAATAATTCTTCAAAAGAAGTTTTTAGTATGCAAGCTCCTAATAATAGTGCAAATATATTTGGCATACAAGCCTCTAATAATAACACAAATATATTTGGTATGCAAGCTTCTAATAATAACACAAATAGTTTTTTTAGCAAATTAACACAATCTAGTAGTTCTGGTGGATTATTCAACACTAAAGAATCTGAACAAAATTCTACAGTTGTTAAAAATAATTTGTTTTCAGTTTCTTCATCTTCAGAAAATCCATTTAAATCAGATACAAGTTTAAACTTTTTTTCTAAAAACTTACAACCTTCTGAAAAGGGTATCATTCCAAACAATACAACTTCTAACTTTTTTAATAATAATTCAACAATGGCTGGCAGTTTAAATATATTTTCAGCCTTAAACTCACAAAGTAAACCATCTTCAACAGATGAGTCAGGTGGTGTTTCTTCTTTGAATAGCACTTCAATGGGTTTGTTTTCAAATAGTGGCAACAGACCAGACCAAAACACAGATTTTTCTCAGGTTTAGTTTTGAATGACTTTGTTTTTCAACTGTAATCATTAATTTTTTTTTTTTTTCCAACTGTAATCAAAATAAATGTTTGTAAATATTAAATTAATTTATGCCTTCATGAGTTTAAATTACACTAAAAATTTATTTTAGGTTTCTACCCAACCTTTAAATCCATTTTTTTCATCACAAACTTCTACGCAACCTACAAATCCATTTTTATCTTCACAAGTTTCCACACAAGTTCGGCCAATACAATCATTGCCAATTTACGAACAACTTAGAGTATATAAACCAATTCAAATCGAAAATATCTTCCTAATTCCACTGATGACTTCTGATGATATTGAAAGTTTTAAGGCGTGTCGTTTTGAAATTGGAAAAATTCCAAAATGCCCTCCACCTATTGAGTTTTGTTAAACTTGCCAATATTTTAATTATTATTATAATTAATTTTATTATAAGACATAAAACCTAAAAGATGTTAAAAAATTAAAATATGTCTTTTTTATAATTTACTTTTATATTTTTATCTTGTGAACATTTTATTAACACATGTGCTCTCACAAAAATATAAATTAAAAACCAAGACAATCAAACAATTTATAACACTAGTACAGGGGTGTACCCTTCGTTTTTTTCCCAGTTGTCTGCTGAGCAACTAAAATAATTTTTAAATAATACTTGAATCATCCGCTATGATAATCAGTAGTCCATTATAAAAATTTTTTGGGGGTATTTTTTCTCTGATGAAAATACTGAAGAAAAAAATCACTGTCTGACAACTAAAATACAACTAATAAGAAACGGCTTAATTAAAAGTAAACTAATTAATAAAAAAATCTTATAAGCTTTTAAAAGAAATTGTAAGTTACAAAAAGATAAAGATTAAATCAAAAGATTTTTGTTGTAGTAAATGTTTCATGTCGTTTCTTTTTGTCAATCTTTATAAAGGTTTCATTATGCTGAGCAAAATAAGTTCAAAGCCGTAGTCGCAAAGAAACATTTTATTTAAAAGAAAAATGTTCTAATATTCTTGTATGTTTAAAACATGTCTTTATTGTAATTCATTATAATGACTTTTTTTTTATTGAAAATAAGAATTTTTAAGTGCATTTTAGTGTTCTCTCATGTGCATCCTAATAATGTTTTTTATTACTATTTATTACTAATTTTATTATTATTTATTACAAATAACAATTTATTTTACTAATGAAAAGCAAAGGATATTATGTGTTATTAATGATTCAACTGCCCATTCATGTGATTTTTGAATTTAAAAAAATGTAATTTTAAAACTCATTTAAAATTGAGAAATGTGCTTCAAAATGCAACAACAATGCTTAAAAAAAAGTACAGTCACACTTTGAAAGATTAAATTGCGTGTCAAACTTTCTGGTTGATGTATTTAGTATGCAAACTGTCGGGCTACTGACAAGCATTTTTTAATTTTAGTTGCCCTTCTAGAAAACAAGTGGTCCCGTGCCACCAGACAACCATGAGGATACACCCCTGTAGTATACATATTAGTAAAACAAAAGTTTAAACAAATATAGCAAATATAAAATATAACAAAATAAATATATGTATAAAAATATGATACCTGATAAATATTTTTGATATATTTATTAGGTATATCAAAAATATATATTTTGATTTAATATATTTTATTATATTTAAAGATGTTTTTGATATTTTTTATTATTTATTGGCAACAAATGTTAATATTTTATGACAATTTATTTTTGTAATTGGTAAATATTAAATTTGGCTTCAATTTTTTTATTTAATTTTTACTTACCATCATTATTATTTATTTTTTATAATTAATTTTTCCATCATTTTAATTATTATTTAACTTTTATTTACTGTCAGTTTATAATGTTTTTTTATTTACTGTCAGTTTATAATGTTTTTTTTATTTACTGTCAGTTTATGTTTCTTTATTTATTGTCAGTTTATAATGTTTTTTTATTTACTGTCAGTTTATAATGTTTTTTTACAACCAACTTGGAATTGTTATTGCTGTAGCTTTCTTCTCTGTTGTACTATATGACATTTCTTACAAAGTTGAAGAAAACCGGTAAGTGAATGTATTTTTCATATTTAAAACGAAATGTGGAAATATTGAGAATGTTGACATTATAAATAAGAAATCTTGATGTGTAATCAAGAAACATAATTTATAAATAAGAAACTTAACATGTAAATATAAAATATTATGTGCGCTTAACTAAAAATTATTTCATATACTATATATATGATACGTTTATTTTCAATGGTCGGACATAATACATTTAATAACTTTTAATAAGTTAATATCAAGTTTAGGTTTTAGTATGCACCAGCAATAGTTATTGGATTGAAAGTATTTAGTATGCACCAGCAATAGTTATTGGATTGAAAGTAGATTGTGTTATGTGATAATACAAGTGATGATATACAGGGTGTTTTGTAAATTAAAATTGCTCCTAATTATCTTATTTTGGTCCTTTTGAGAATCATATCCTGTTTGCTATCATGCTTTGCTATCATATCCTATTTGTTATCATGTTTTACTATCATATCCTATTAGCTATTATGTTTTGCTCGAAAATGTCTCCTAATTATCATAATAAAAATTATTTTATTAAAAATCATATTATTAAAATTCATATATAAAGTTTAATTATTGTTTACAATTTACTTTTTATATAAAAACATTAGATAAAAAATACTTTTGCCAAAGCTACTTTAAATTGTTCTAACGTTATGAATTGAAGAATTTTAATTATTCTATCCTTATGATTTGGCCTCTTGCATTCTATTGTTAGAGAAGAAGCTGCTCAAAACAGTAGAGAAATGTTTAAAAAACTGATGATTTCAAATTTTACGTTTAAAAAACTGTCAATTTGAAAGGGTGAAGATAAGCATTAATCAAAATAACTACTCAAACATACATTTGATTGCAGCTATATCAACAAAAAATTATTTCATGACTTTGCTGAAGATTATTTATAGCAGATTCTTGTAACAAATGAATGTTGACCACTGAATTTTACCACTGAGTAATACTCAGGAAACGTTTGGAGGATGCAAAAAAGTGCATTGATTGTTACTGTGGTAACAGTCAATGCACTTTTTTGCATTTAGTTGGAAAGTGTGTTTAAAAATTTACAAGCTCAGTTGTTGCCTTAAGGACTCTAATACAATCTAATGCCAATCGAAATAGTTCAATATTAGTATTAACATTAAAAAAACGAATTGGATTCCATCTATATTTAGCCCTAGGTCCGTTAAACAACAGATGCAATATTCTGATGTATTGTTATTGTGGCAAAAACATAATTGGTGATGACTGTTCTTGTGTTTCACACAACTGATGTGACAATTTTAAATATGGAGTTGAGTGACATCTAAGTTGCTGTTTAACTAAGAGTTTGTTATGGAGTTTGTGTAAATTGACAGTTTCTTAAATTATCAATTTACACAAACTTCAATTATCTTAAAAGATTACTCAACATACAGCATAGATTACTCAATTATCTTAAAAAAATGTATTAAATGTGACACATTTGTAAATCATCACAAATATGATGCAATAATCATGAATATAATCTTAATCTAAACTTGTTTACTTACTAATATTATAATAAATTTATTTTGTTAATATATTTGATATTTTATATAAATAAAGATAGATAAAAAATAAATGTAATTTATATCATCTCACTATGTTATTTCTCTTAAAATGCAAATAAACATTTTTTTTACATAAATTTTTTTCATAAGTTTACATGAAACTTTTTTTTTAATTTAACAAAATATTTAATTTTGTAGATGTGGGATGACGTGGATGTATGAGCAACCAGAATTCATTAAATTAACCATGCCGAGTGTTGTGCAACATGAGTTTGCCAAGTATTCACTTTTCATATATGGAGAGGGAAGCTATGCAACTTACTTAAAAAACATGCAAGGAAAATACAAATTGGATGGAGTTCCTGTTTTATTTGTGCATGGAAATGGGGGTAGCTATAAGCAGGTAGTTTTATTTTTGCATGGAGATAGGGGTAGGTAGGGTAAAGGGAAGTGGAGAGTAGCTATAAGCAGATAGTTTTACAATAAAAGTATATAATTTTTTTTTGCCTAGTAATATAATAATATGGTACTGTTGATGACAAAATTTAAAATATATGAAATTAAAATTTGTTCTTAATTTATTAATAAATTATAAATAATATTTAATAAATAAACTTTTTAAAAAGTTTAAATATGAATTTATATATACACATTTGGTAAAAAGTACAAATCTTAAAAGGCAATAAAAATCAAAATTTAACCAGATATTGACATTTGAAAAAAGACAGTTATGTATACTATTTTAAGTAATAAATTGTTAAACATTTTTTTTTGTCTTATTTTATTTCATTTATTGTTTTTATATATTTTGTTACATTTTATTTTTTACTATGATAATTTTACTAAATGTTAAAATTTATAATTTGTCAGTTATTTGAACAAATCTGTTTTAATCTCTAATTTCATAGTGTTTCTCACTTAAAGATATACAACAAATATGTTGTTTGTGTTTCTAAATGATATACAATCTAAAAAATTCCAATACTTTTTAATTATCAATTATTAGTAAAGTATTAAATATATATGTATATATATATATAAATATATATATATATATATATATATAAATATAAATATATATATATATATATATATATATATATATATATATATATATATATATATATATATGTATATATATATATATATATATATATATGGCATGCAACCACAGATCTCTTGATTCTGAAACAAACGCTGTAACCACAACTTAATGTCTGCTTTAAATTTTTATACATATATATATATATATGTATATTTTAATTTTTTTTTTTAATATCTTCGCTTCCAACAAGACTGCAGGCAACCACTAATTAGTGTTGGAAGTTACTGGAAGAGAAAAGATGAAGATTGTAGAGCAAGATAACGATTGACAGACGACTTAAAAGATTGCAAATTATATGAATCTGGAAAGCAAGATGAAAAAAACTAGGCGAATAAGAGTTTTTGGAGCACTTAGGAACAGTAACAGAAAAAGGATGAGACTTAATTGAATGACGAGTAACACGAGAATGAATTTTAGTAGATAACACAAGAGACGCAAGCTCCTTCGAGCAGTGCCCATTATAGTATTTGTAGAAAAGAGAAAGAGAAGCAACATTACGACGATGTGACAGAGGTTGAAGGTTGGCTGCAAGAGCAGGTCCAACTATGTTTACAATTCGTTTTTGTACCTTGTCTAAAAGAAAAAGGGCATCATTAGAAGATCCGCCCCAAATATGGCAACAGTATTCCATACAAGGCCGGATTTGAGATTTATAGAGATAAAGAATAGAATCCAGAGTAAGAAAGTGTCGAGCTTGATAAAGAGATGCATCCTTAGCAGATGCTAATTTTGCAACGGATTTGATATAAGGTTTCCAAGAAAGATCAGAAGTGAGAGTTAATCCTAGAAGATGAAGGGTAGATGACTCATCGAGTACATTACCGTTCATAAATATAGGAAGGTCTAAATTATTGCGATAACGATTGGCTGAAAAAAATTTTTTTTCAGCCAATCGTTATCGCAATAATTTAGACCTTTAATTCAGATAAAGAGTTTTATCTGAATTAAAGTTCACCAGCCACTGTGAGCCCCATGCTGTGGCAGAATTGAGATCCTTTTCAAGCTCAAATGCCCCTTGCAAGCAATCAGAGGGAGTTGGCTTCTTATTGTAACAAGAATATATAGTAGTATCATCAGTGAACAATGCCACCTTAGATGTGAGAATATCTTGAAAATCCTTAATGTAAATTAAAAAAAGTATAAGGCCAAGGATTGAACCTTGAGGAACCCCTGAGGTAACAGAATAAGAAGAAGAGTGCTGTCCATCAAGGACAACTTTAATACTACGATTGGAAAAGAAGGATTCAATAATCTTAAAGATGTTTCCAGATACACCGTAAGAAAAAAGCTTATGGAGAAGACCAGCATGCCAAAGTTTATCAAACACGCTTTAGAAATGTCAAGAGCGATGGCCTCAACCTCTCCACCTTTATCTAATGCACGATAAAATCTTTCGGTTATTACTGTTAGCAAATCAACCGTAGAATGAGATGATTGAAATCCATATTGATGATCAGAAAGTAAGTTATTAGATTCAAGATGAGAGATTAAGTGTTTGTTAATTAAATATTCAAAAAAACCTTGCTTATGATAGGAAGAATACTAATGGGATGGTAGTTAAACGAATCAGATCGCTCTCCAGACTTTTTGAAAATAAGGATAACAGATGCTGCTTTCCAGCAGGCTAGAAATCAAGACTCTGATAAGCACTTGTTGATTACTTTTGAAAGGACAGACCACAGCTCCGGAGAACACTTCTGCAAGACTATAACAGGTATGTTGTCCAGGCCACAAGCTGTAGAAGAGTCTAAGCAGGAAATTACTTTAGATACAGAAGCTGGAGTGATTTGTGAATGTCAAGCAATGGATAGACCTGTTTGACAGCTATATCAGGTAGAACGCAATTAGTGGAATCGTCTGAAAAACGTCTGTTTTCTGGAGAATTTTTTTGCTGATAGATATGGAAGTAATGGTTTCGATTGGCAATTGCAACAGCACAATGTGAGGAAAACCATGGAGAAAAGTGAGGCTTGATCTGGAATCGACGAGAGGGAATAAAAGATTCCATGCCAGCCTGAATCCATGAAGTTATGTAAGAAGCACATTTGTCGACAGGAAGACATAAGATTTCTACCTATCATGGGCCATCATGAAAAAAATCATGGAAAGAGTCCCAATCAGCTTTAAGGTAGTTGTAAGATGTACGATGATAGGGGGATTCTGGTGATAAAAAAGAATGAGATAATTGTTTTAAAGAGATCAAATTGTGATCAGAGGCACCTAAGGGTGAATGTGGAGAAACTGAGCACTGACTAGGATCAGAGACAAGACATAAGTCGAGTAGAGAAAGTAAATGATTCAGGTTGTCTGGAAAGCGAGTTAAAAAGTTAACTATTTGAATTAGGGATTGAGAAAGGCAAAAGTTGTGGGCCTTAATGCCTGCAGAGTCACTGACACTAGAGCCAAGCCATTTAGTGTGATGAACATTAAAGTCACCGACAACAATAATTTTGGCTGATAGATAAAGAGAGAGGGCATGTTCAATACGATCAGAAATAACATCAAGAAGAGTGCAGTCTTGATGAAGGAGAGCAATATAGAACAAAGAGAAATGTGATAGAGTGAAGTGGTTCTAAACAAAAGCACATAAAAGAGTAGTCTGTGGATTCAAACCTAGTTTCCCGACAAATGGGTGAATTCTTACGAATGTAAATGCCCAGACCAAGCATGTGACTATTGGAGTTTTTACAAATTAAAGGAAGATGACCATCAACACTAAGATCACAAGATGAGACAGCTGAACTCAAATTAGTCTCACAAAGAGCAAGTAGGTAAACTTTGCAAGAGATAAGACTCAACAGGAAAAAAGTTTCTTCTAAGACCACAATTATTAGTGAATGATAGGTTTAGCGAACTTGGTGATGACAGTATTTTTTTGTGTTTTATAGTTTTTGTTACTTTATGCATTTTTAAATTTGTTAAAGAACTTGACACGAAACATAAATCGTACTCAGTACACTGTTTTATAGCCCAAGCAATTGCCTCATTACTATTAATAACCTCTAAGCCATAACAAAGGGCTCCAATGTGGCCTTGGCAATGCATACCAAAAGTACAAACAGGGACACCACCCATGAGCAACATGGCACTTTTATTACTTTGATATTTTTCAGTTTTTGATGAAATCAGCCTCTCTGAGAGCTACCACAGAGTTAAGGAAACCTGACTACTGGCCAGCCTTAGAACCAATAAACTGAGTTTTAGAGCTGTACCCTCATTAGAAGATAATAGAATGAGTAATTTTTTTAATATTTACATCGCTAACAACAGGAAATCCTGTTTTAATCTATTCCCCAATTTGAAATAATATGGTTTAAAAAAAGCTTATTTTATAGAAAAATTAGGAACGTAAATGCTAATATGATGTAAATTACCTTTAATTTTTATGTTTTAAGAGTTTTTCCTGAACAAAACCTTTTAATATGAATATATATATATATATATATATATATATATATATATATATATATATATACATATATATATATATATATATATATATATATATATATATATATATATATATATATATGCATGCAAAAGTTAATATAATTTTTCTTTCACTTAGGTATAAAATATATGTAAAGTTTACTAAACATTAACTTTATTTAGTTATTGAGGACAGAATTTAGATTGATAGAAATAATTTACTTTAAAATTTACTTTTGATTACATTTTTTTACAAACAAAAAAAAAAAAATTCTCTCCCCTCAAACCATATTTTTGACCCTTTTCAAAAGATTTATGGTCTTCTTTTCTTGTCTTTTTTTACATCACATCATTTTTTACATCTTCTTTTCTTACATCATAGAATGAATTTTCAGCAATTTTAAATAAACATTTTCAAAAAACTTATTTTTGGCCTAATATTGAGTTATTCCTGATCACTGTGGCGCCAGTAGAAATTTACAAATCATTAACAATAACATCTTTTCAAATAATGGAAAGTTTTTTATTTTGTTTTTACTGATTGTGCACATTTTTATTACTATTACTTTTGTTAACTGGTGGTATTTTAAAAAATTTAAAAATTAAAAAAATGTGGTTTTTATACATAATAGCGTTGAGGCCAATACATAGCAATTAGAAATTTGTTAGTTGCTTTTGATCTTGTACAGTTCACTCACTTCAAGCCCTGGCTATTTAAAAGGGGCTCATACAAGATTAGTTAAGTTTCCTGGCTGACCATTATTTTTGATAAACTTTTGCCATAATGTCGGAAAGCTTCATATAGCAGTAGCCGTAAATAAATCTGTTAAGCTGGCGAATAAATTATTTATATCATAAAACCATAAAAAGTTAATAAACAGTAAAGATAAAACTACTTCACTTGTAGATAGTTTGCAAAATTTTTTGCAAAAATATATATTTTTTGCAAAATTTTTTGCAAACTATCTACAAATGTAAATAATTTTAAATTTTCTAATTTTAAAGTTATTTGCATTTGTATATATTTGTAAAAAAAAAAATACAAATAAAGAAAAAAATCAAATTATTAGGTGAAAATTAACAAATATGGTGCATTACTCTAAAATCAGCAGTTCAAATTGCATTACTCTAAAATCTAGCAGGTTTTTATTCTGAGTAATAAAATACTTAAAGAGATCAATTGATGACATTTCTCTTTTTTTTTCCTTCAAAAAAACAGCCTTTAAGGATCGTCTAGAGTAATCAAAAAATGCAGTCTTTAAAAGTTGTATATATATATACATATATATATATATATATATATATATATATATACATATATATATACATATATATATATATATATATATATATATATATATATACATATATATATATATATAAATCTATATGTATATATATATATATATATATATATATTTGTATATATATATATGTATATATATATATATATATATATAATATATATATATATATATATATATATATATATATATATACATATATATATATATATATATATATATATATATATATATATATATATATATATATATATATATATATATATATATGTATATATATATATATATATATAAATATATATGTATATATATATATATATGTATATATATATAATATATATATATATATATATATATATATATATATATATATATATATATATATATATATATATATATATATAATTTTCTTATAAAACCTACTTTTTTACAGTAAAAACTAAGAATTTAATTACTTTCAAATACTTTTCTTTTTTTCACTAAACAACATTCTCTAATAATTTTTTTCTTTAAGCATTTTTTTTCACTAAGCAATGTTTTCTTGTAATTTTTAAAGAACTGAAACATTTTAACTAAAATTACTCCCCTTTAATCTAATTATTTTTTTATACAAAATTTCTTATGTGGTAGGCATTGTTTGTATGCTTGCATAACTAATTTTTTCTTATTTGCATGCATGTATGCACATATGCAATAAATGGACATATTTAAACAGTTATTATTATTTACTTTGACTGTTTCACCTTAAAATCTAGTGTGATTTAATTTTTTTATATATAAATTAAAATTATTTATAAAACCTATTAAAATATATTTCTTTTATATAAAAGAATGCCTGCCAAAACCTAAACCCTCAGTTGATGTGTGTACACTCCATTGCTTTTATTTCTTAATTGCTATTAAAATTTAATTATGCAAAAATTTTTTAAATTGTGCAAAAAAACAACGTTTAATAATTAAGTTACTTAATTTTAATGATAAAATGTTAATAAACTTCATTTGTTTAAAATGTTAAAAAAATTCATTTGTTTAGTTAATAGTCGTTTGATTTTATTTTTTTTTATTTATTTGTTAGGAAAAATTACTTTAAAATCTTTTTAAAATTTTTCCTTATTTTTTATTAAAAAACTCATGTTTTGAAAAATATAAAAATGACAATTCATGTTTTAAAAAAATTAAAATTTCATTCTGAATCTAAAATCCATTTATAATGTAAAATTAACATTTTTGTATTAGAACAACCGGAAAATGTCAGACATTGTTGATACTTTGTTTAATTAAAATAAAAAAATTTTAACTTAATTCGAGTCACATTAAGTAAAAACTTACACGGTGAGTCAAAATCAACTCATGTAGAACCAAATACAAATCGCAAGTTTAATTATTTCGAACAACCAAAATAAATCACAAGATTTTCATCACTTTAAACACTACTTTTTTAAATAATTTAACTAGTTAAACATGTAATAACAAAATAATAAACATTATTTATTATTTTATCATTACATGTTCTGATCTTTCACTCGCTTATTTTAAAAACCATGTGTAATGTATATGTTTATTTATTATTATTATTGTTATCATGGTTGTTACTATTATAAATTTATTTTTGATCTTATCTTTATTTATTTTTTTATTGAAAATTTTTGGTTTAATAATAGTTTATAGTGTTAAGATTTGATGAATTTTATCAAACAGTGTTTTATTCTATGATGTAATGTATTAATATACCTTTTAATGGTATTCATTATTCAATCAAAAATAATGGTATTCATAATATGATGTAATTAATAATATGACTTTTTTTAAATTTCATTTTAGGTTCGATCTCTTGGTTCTGTATCCCTTCGTAAATCTGAAAAATCTGTTTATCATTTTAATTATTTTAGTGTAGATTTTAAAGAAGAACTTTCTGCTCTGTATGGTCCGTTTCTATATCGACAAACAAAGTTCCTTCAACATGCTATAACACAAATATTTAATTGTTACTCTCACCTGCCAATTTCTTTAAGACCAACTTCTATTATTGCTGTTGGTCATTCAATGGGAGGTGTAGTTATACGTGGTTTATACACACTGTCTTCATTTAATGCTTCATTAATAAACACTATTATCAGTTTAGCAACTCCACAAAAAGAAGCTCCCTTGTTTCTAGATAACTTTATTTATGAATTTTACCATGAAGTGAACAATTATTGGATACGTGAAAGCAATGGAAAGTTATTTAATACAACTTTTTTGTCAATTGCTGGCGGATTTAGAGATCACTTGGTTCGCAGTGATTTGTGTTTTATAAAAACTTTGAATAAAAATCAGAGATATTCACTTACAACAAGTATTCCCCACATTTGGCGATCAACTGACCACCAATGTATTGTGTGGTGTAATGAGTTAGTCCGCGCGCTTACCCGTTGTTTTTTCAAGATGATTGTTTTTAAAACAAAGCAAGTGTCAAAAAGTCATAATCGTAGACTAAAAGTTTTCGACAGTATTTTTTTTAATGCAGACTTGAAGCACAGTGCTCCAAGAAACAATTGTGTTTCTATCCAGGTTGAGAATACTATGAGTTCTTTCTATGCGAACAAAAGCTGCTTTCATCTATACTCTATTAATGGTCATGGAATAATTTTATTATCTGAAGGTTCATTGAGTGAGTGGGTTTTATTATGCGACAATTCAGCTTGTGTTTTTCCATATTACACGTTTCCGACTCATAAAAAGTCTTCATTTTATTTTTATGTGAATTCAAGTGTTACAATATTGGATGGCAGCAATGAAGTTTTTGTTCAAGCTTATGATAAAACTAATTTTCTCTCAGTAAATATTCCATTTTTGTTTATTGAAGAAAAGTTGTTTCATTTCCAGAAATCATTTTTTATTAAAATAAATTTAATTGGTTTTATTGAAACATGGCAAGCTTATAAATTGACATTCAACAATAATTATTCCTTTCAAGCTACTGTAGGTCTTTTTTCTCCATTTACTTCAGATATTGAATATTTTCTATTGAATGGCAGTGAATCAATTTCACTTAAACTTTTTAAAGGGAAGCCTTACAATAAATATTATGACAAACATGTTTATTTAATGATTTGGAGCAAAAACATATCTTCCATTAATGTGCGGATTCAACCTGATTTTGTAGCGATTTTTGGACAGATTTTTAAATTCAATTATGCAAAAATATTGCGTATTACAATTCTTTTTTGTATTTTGAAATCCCTTGCTGAATTTTCTAAATTAGGTCAATTTAATGTCTTTCAGTCAACATTATTTGTTGTTTCATTGACCTTGCTTATGTTGTCAACCAAATTATTGTTTAAATTTAATATGGATGTTATTACTCGAACAGTTTGGATTGAAATATTTTTAGTTTTTATATCATTTTTTCTCTCAGGAGTTTGGCACAGCTTAGTTAGAAAGTTTATTATTGCCTTATGTGTTTTACTAACACTTTTAGTTTCAGTAAATAAATTGGACCAAATGAAATTTACAAAGTTTATGCTTCTAGCTACCATATCAACTCTGAGTGGCTTAGCTATATGCCAATATATATTTTTTGGTATGCCTTTTTTATTTTTTATTATGATCAACATAATAAAAATAAATACTTCAGAAGATTGTGAAATTAAAAAAGTACAGATGAGTATTCTTGGTGGTATTTTACCTTCAATTATTATTTTGCTAGTAGTCCCTACAATAATTTATGTTAAAGATTGCATTGAAAGTACTTCCTCCTTAGAAGGTGCCTCAATAAATATTCTATGCCTTCATATTACTTATGTTCTTTATTTGATAGTTGATCTATCAGTTCCTAAAATTAGAACTATATATGTGTATTTTATAGCTGTAGTTATTTTAACTGTACTATCAGAAACCTTTCAACTATTTAACCAAGTCTATATAACAATATTTTTTCTTATTTATATATCCCTTTTTTCTTTGATAAAAAAATTTTATTTTTTATTTTTTATAGTTTCAAAGTTCAAAATTTTGTAATATTGTTTATAAAAATAACATCAATAGAATAAATAATAATTAATTATGTTTTAGTTGACATTTATTATTGTAGTTTTTAGAGTGTTTCTGTTCTGCAGGAATGGAAAGAAATAATAGACCATTGTTGCCTATGCAGTGCATTGGCTTTTGTTAAATTATTATATAAAACATTTGTTAATTTACCTCCCTAAGGCCGAAAGACCACTACAGTTGATGAGGTTGAGAAAGTAATCTACTACTACTTAGGATTTTATAACTTTTACTATAGTTCATCTAGCACAGTTGTACTATAGTTCATCTAACACAGTTGTACTATAGTTCATCTAACACAGTTGTACTATAGTTCATCTAACACAGTTGTACTTTAGTTCATCTAACACAGTTGTACTATAGTTCATCTAACACAGTTTTACTATAGTTCATCTAACACAGTTGTACTATAGTTCATCTAACACAGTTGTACTATAGTTCATCTAACACAGTTGTACTTTAGTTCATCTAACACAGTTGTACTATAGTTCATCTAACACAGTTGTACTATAGTTCATCTAACACAGTTGTACTATAGTTCATCTAACACAGTTGTACTATAGTTCATCTAACACAGTTGTAAATGTTTAATGGCAGTTATATCATAGGAATCTTTCTAGATACAGTTTGATAGAGTGTGTGAATGTCATGAGTGTAGGTTGTTTAATGTATACAATATTGTTATATTTTTATATACCTAATTATTATTGTTATTATTATTATTTTTATTATTATTATTATTATTATCAATATCTGTTTTATTATAACTTTTATTTGTATGAATTTTACTGTTCAATAATACTTAAATTGTTTATAATATTTATTTAATTCTAAAATCATATAATTAAAAAATATATGAAAAAATTATGCTATGAACTGTGTTTTTTATTTTGTGGCTTTATACTTTATAAATATATATATATATATATATATATATATATATATATATATATATATATATATATATATATATATATATATATATATATATATATATATATATATATAAATATATATATATATATATATATATATATATATATATATATATATATATATATATATATATATATATATATATATATATATATATATATATATATTTCAAATTAATTTAAATAGTTGTAATTTTATTTAGTTAAAGTTAAATGAAACTTCAATTAGGCAAAATATGAAAAAAAAAAAAGTTTTTGTTGTTAACTGGTTATTTGAATCTGAAAATAATAAAAGTAATAACTTTGATAATGAAATGATAATAGAAAACAGAAAATAGAAAATTTTGATAAACAGCGATAACTTTGTTACAAATATTTTTTTCTTTTGCAGCTTTATATTTTTTAATTGTATTTTATTTCATGGTTTTGTTTTTTAATTTGATTTTACTGTTTTTTATATATTTTATCTATTTATTATATTGTGACGGTTGTTATTATGGTAACCATATTGCAACCAATCAGTATTAGCGACAATTGTCAAACATTATAATGTCATATTGTGATTAAGACTAGTGGCGTGACAAAGTCGAAAAGTTATCAAAAATGTTTTGTTTTTTTAAATACAAATAAAGGTATTTTTTTAATCTAAAAATTTAAATTTTAATGCTGGTTATTTTTTGTTATAGTTCTCTAAACATAAACATATTATTTTTATTTCTTTTCTATGTCATAAATATTTTTTACAAATAAAGTTTTAACTTGAATATGTTAAATAGCTAAAACCTTTTGAAATCTGTAGCCAGATTAATTTTCTGTTGTTAACGTGTAGTTTTTTTTTAAGTATAAAATTATTTAATTGTTATTTTTATTTTTATAGGGACAAGAATTTGATTTTAAATTTTAGAAGAGGAGGATCATGGTAGGATCTATAGAAATTTTCGACAAATAACATTACAATTCTTTTTAATGCATAATTGTTTATTTACTATCCAATCAACAGATGTTCATTTAATACATCCTTTGCAATAATTGATGCTCCAGATCTTTTTGAGAAATAGAAAACCTTTTAAGTTAAGACAAGAAAATTGTCAATTGAAAAATGTTAAAGTAAAACAAAGAGTGCTAACTTTGAAACAGGAAGTTGTAAACAAAAATAATAAGAAAGATTGTTAGAAACCTAGAGTCAGAAAATTGTAGACATTAGAGAGTACAATAAAAAATATATTAAATTAATTGCGCGTGTTATATCTTATAACAGATAGACTTTAAAAAAATTTTTAAATAAATTTGAAAAAAAAAAAAAAAAATTTGAAATGTGTCTATTTATCTTATTAAAAATAGTATTGTTTTTTTTTTTTTTTTAATTTTTTCTCTTTATTTATTTATATTATATTTACTCTACATAATTTATGTTATTGATAATTGTGTTTTATCTACATAAAAATCCAATCCTTTGAAAATGATGTGAAATCATTTGGGATTACCGAAATTTAATTTTTTTATCATAAATTTATATCGATGGTTAAGAGCACAAAGGGAATATGTCCAACATTTTACGGTTTTGAGTTATTGCGAGTTATTGTATTAAAGTATGTAAAAGAAATGAAAATAAAATAGTAAAAAACAAGACAGAATTAATTGAGGAATGCATTTGGTTAAAAATCATGACTATAAATAAATATCATGAATTATTGTATGTTTTCAAACTTTCAAATTCAGATTTCTCAAAACATGGTTAGTGGACCTAAAATGGTTAGTGGACGTATTCCCTTTATGCTCTTAACCAATATTATTGTGATTATGACATTAAATAAGTTTATATATTTTTTGAATTTCTTAATATTATTGTTAAAGTATTATTTTGTTGTAATTTCCAATAATGGTTGACTTACTGAGGCCAATATACCTCTGTTAATTAAATTATACCTAGGAAATATTTTATTTAATGATTACTTAAAACATGTTTTTTTTTTTTTTTTTTTAATAGATTTTTTTATTGTTTTTTTGTTTTTGTTCAAAAATCATGAATTATTGTTAATATTTATAATTTTTTTTTTATATATTAGAATTAAAATTATAAATATCAAAATTTTTAAAGTTATAAATGTAAAATCATGAATGATTGTTTATATTTATAATTTTATTTAACTTTACAACTGTAAAATTTAAAATTAAAAAATGGCTTAATTGGTTCCATTTTTTTTTTAAATAACTTTTATTTGTTACGCAAATAATATTTTGTAATAATGATAAGATCGTTATTTTTTCCATGAATTTTTTCTAACATTTGTGTCTTGTTTTACATCTTTAACTTTATGACTTAAAAAGAGTAATAACGAAATATTTTAAAAAACTGCTAATTGAAATATTTAATTATTATTATGTTTATTATCATCTTTATATATGTTAAATAAAGTATCAGGTTAAGAAGTTTAGTAAGTAAATAAAATAACATATAAAACATATATGATAAAATTTAAAAATTTATTTTTGATTTTATATTTATTTAATTTTGCAAATATCCAATAACAATAATAACAATCAATATAAAAATTAAAAATAATAGTAATACTATAACTTGTGTATTTTTTGAATGTTTTTTATCTGCGTGTGTGCAGTGTCATGACCAGCCTGTTTAAAGTAAAAGTGTATGTCTCTTACTTTGATAACAAACGCTACATCAAAAAGTCGTGGAAAGTTTACTTACAAAGAACAGTTACTAATAAATATGAAGCAATAATTCGGTTACGTTTTGATGATCGATCTGTTTACTTATTTGAAAATTTTCTTTTAAGCAACCGTAGATTTTGTAAGCAGCTAATGTGTTGGTTGCCATCATGTTGTCATGGTTACTATATTTTTTTGCTGTTATTTTTTTTTTTATTGTTTATATTTAATATTTTAAATTTTAATACATTACACTTTAAAATGCTTTGTTACTATTAGGTTTTATTAATCTGTAATATGAGAATTGTTTTATGATCACATGTATGACTTATAATTATGTAAATTTATGTGAGTCTTAATCCTATTATAGTCTTATTAATTTAATATCTCACATAGTTATGCAAAGTTATTTAGAACCTCACATAATTATTTAAAGTTATATCATGTATTAAGCTATTATGGTTTTAAATACTTTATGTGAAGAAAGTTTTTAAGATTAGTTGTTCTGGTTTAATAGATGACAGTCATTTTTTGGTAACCAAGACAGCATCACTATTTTCAAACATCAAGTTTTGGATAGAAGCCTACAAAACATATGTTTTACCTTTATACTGCATCATTGTTTCGTAGGTTATTTGTTTATTTAAAGTGTATTCCCGACGGGCATTTGTTTTTAAAAGTTACGTTCTAAATGTGTTTTAAACGTCTTTTAAACGTCTTTTTAACATTAATGTTTAAAAGACGTTTAAAAGACATTTAAAATACATTTAGATCGTAACTTTTAAAAACAAATGCCCGTCAGGTTACTATAAGCTTATTCTAAATTTAAATTCTACAAACTCTATAAATTAGATTCTTACTTCTTACTATTTTTTATTTTAATTTTTAATTCTAATTTTATCATGTTTTATTCTAATTCTATTATGTTTTATTCTAATTTCATTATGTATCAAAAGCTAATCAAAATATCAAATGTCATAAGTCTTCATCTTTTGATAACAAAGCAACCCTGTAATGAAAATAAAAATATCATGTCATTTTATACATTTATTATCTGTAGCAAAAAGAACTCTGTGTTCATTTTGTTTTATTGTCTTTATTGTGAAACTTTATTATGAAACAAAACTACTGTAAAATTTGAGTTAGCATGAATAAAGAAATTAAAGTTAGCATAAATTTTTTTTTTTTACATGATATAAAAGTTTTATTTGTTGATTTAATTTTGATTACTATTTTTATTAATACATTTTTTTATTAATGTTATGTTTTAGACAAAAAATTTAAAACTGCTTTTTAGATGGCGTTTATTTCACCCGCTGCTAGTTGCAAGAATTCAATTGGAATATATTTGTGCTTGTCTTTCAACACTAGGTGGCGCACATTCCTCTCTCGGCGATTTCTCTGAAAAACATGTTAGTCTTTTGATTTCACAGATTTAAAATAATATTTAAATGCTATTTATTTTCGAGTCTTTCAGTTATTTTTATTTTTTAACTGTTAGTTTTAAGACTTTCATCATCATTATCATCGTCATCAGCAGCTGCTTTATCATCTTCATCAACAGCAGCTGATTTATCATAATCATCATCATCGTCATCATCAGCATCTGCTTTTATCACCATGATCAGCTGCAGCTTCATCAACCTAATAAATACTTTTTAGTTGTACTTTTTTTCTTATAGTCCTATAAAGCAGCTTTAGTATCGCAACAACAGTATGTGGTTGCAAAGAAGATGAATGATCCTATCTTAATGCATAGATGTCGTATTTATTACGCACATAGCTTGCTGCAGCGAGGAGAGTTAAAAAAAGCTGCCAAAATAATACGGTAATATTTACTTTAGCTTTGAAACAATATTTTTTTTTAGTCATGAATTTATTGCGTTATTTTCGATTCTCATGTATTTCTTTAAATTATAGAAAAGATGGTAAATAAAGGATAGTTAAAAAAAAAAAAGTAATAAAGCGTAATACTTGTCAAGGTTAATAAAGGAAAAGCTTATAAATCTTCGAACTTTGAAACAAACAAATAATAACAAGCTTTGTCCAAGCTTCTGCAGAATGTGGCGCGAAATGTTTTCTTAAGAGAATTATGATTTAACACCTAGAACGTTTACAATAATATCAAATAAAATTTTTGAAAACAAATTTATTTTAAAAACATTTTTGCTATGTAACTAAACATTTTTTAAAATTAACTTTCAAATATTCACCTTTTTTTAAATAGGGTTTAAATAATTATGTTACAAAAATGACATCTTGATTATAAAATTAGGATAGTCGGAACAGTGGGAATAATGGGTCGGTTTTTCCTAAAGCCTTATATCTAAGCTGAAATTAAAATAATAATAATAAAAAAAAAATTAAGTTAAACATTTTAAATTATTGTGTTCCGTTATTGTAAAAAAAATTAACTTTAGAAGTACCAAATCTCATTAAAAGTACCAAAGTGCATTAGTAAGTTCACAAAAAACAAATTTTTTTTAGGGTTTATAACGATACAATGCATTGTATCGTTATAAACCGTGAATGAATCTTTTGCCGTTGCAACGGCAAAAAATTCATCAGTAATTCGCTTTATTTATAAAAGTTTAGTTTTATCAGACATTTTTTATCTTCTTTTTCTGGTTATATTAAAATATCTGGTATTGAATTTTTCGAATATTAAAATTTCAGTGAAATGGCTTTTGTAGGGCATATTGGGACAATAAGTTATTTATATAATTGACTACCTTAAAACCATTATATGATGCTGTTTACAATGTGGTCATTTTATTTTTTAACTAAAATCTTATTTAGAAAAGCAATATTAGTAATAAATTCAAAGAAATTGTTATTTTTGTAACTTAACTTCAATTAATAATAGTGTTTAATATAAATAACGAGAAAAGAAATTATATATGAAAGATCACTCGTCCAAAATGGGATAAAAGCTCTTTGAAAATTCGTTTTAGCTGTAAGTAAAAAGGAACTTAGTATCAGAAAAGCTGCTAATACATTTGGTACATTTAAATTTTCTTTTCATCTGCCGATACGCCAGATCATCAAAACAGTTGCCAAATAATTTGTGGATATTTTTTGTATGATTTATGTGATCTATATTTTTTGTTTAATCATTTATTTAGTAATATTACCCAGTTTAATAATTAATATCAGTTTTTGTCCTTCTTACTTTTTAGAATATTTTCTTAAGTTTGCTTTTTATGGTATATGAGCGTATGGATGTATAGTTTTTTTTTTGTGTGTGTGTAATGTCTGAACATGTTTAAATAATAGATAGCCTTCATTTTTTTATTTTTAATAGATAGCCTTCATTTTTTTATTTTTAATAAATAACCTTCATTTTTTTATTTTTAATAGATAGCCTTCATTTTTTTTATTTTTTTTCACAACAAATAATTGCTGCTCTTTAACTGTTTCGTTTTGACCCACCCACCACCACCCACTTGCTAAAGGTCTAAAGTTTCAATAGGTTGTCGTAGCTTATTTTAATAATTTTTTTTTTTGTTTCTTCGTTTTCTTTTATCAATGAACTTTAAAAAATTTATAAAAAAGTGTTCCGCAACATTTTTGCATCATTCCGCAAACATCCACAACATTTGTTTCTTAGGTGTCCGTTATACGTCCCGCTCTACCCTACTTTTTAGATTAGAGTTTTTTTAGGTTTTAGATGTAATTTAATAGAAATAAATTTTAATTTCTCAATTGTTTAAATAATTAATTTGTTTTTATTTAAATAGATCTGTGTATTGCGAAGCAAAGTCGTCCAAGACAGACGTAGAGCTTGTAAGTTTTTCTTTTTTTTTTTCTTTCAAATTTTTAACATTAATTTTTAAAATTTTGTTATCATCTATAAGTCGCGTTTACTTTTCTTTATAAAAAAAAAAATCGTTTTCTTTTCTTTATAAAAAATATTTTTATTAAGGTTTTAACTTGTTGCCGTGCAGCGTGGAGCAAATTCAAATATTTGCGGAAATGCAATCGGTATACTCCCCAGTCCAAATAATGTTTAGTAAAAATGTTACGAACTTTAGGCAAGTATATTTTGAAACCTTCCATTTCACCTTAAGGTAATAAAGAAGAATGTTGTCTTTAGCTTTGTGTGACCACTGTATTCAGGCATCCGTTATGTGTTTCAGAGGGCCATACAAAAAAGGTCAATTTGGAAAAGTTGGAAAAGCTTTGAATAAATAACAATACTGCAAAATATTTAATAAATGAATTTTTTATTATTACAAGTTATACTTTTTAAATTGTTTTTAATATTTTAAATGATTTTCTCTCAGATGACCATTTAAAATTTATTTTTTTTACATAACCGTACTTTTTACTTAAAGTAATAAAATTTGGGAAAAATATTTTAAAAGTTTCTTCAACTTGTTTTTATATAGAAAAAATAACTTGAGAAGAAACATTTTTCGCAAAAAGAAATTTTTCAGGGTATAAGACGATTATAGTCTTTTGTCATCCTAAAGACTTATGGTAATATGGTGTTGCATATTACGATATTACTTTCAAAATGCAATCTACTACTCTGTCTTTTTTTCCCAAAAGTCTAAACAAAGTGAGACAAATATTTTTTATACTTCATAAAATTTATACCGCTAAAGTGCATTTGTTAAAAGTGTTGATAATAAAATTTATAAAAGTTATGTTTATACGAAAATGCCTAATAGTGTACGGTTGAAATCTTGAATTTCTTTTTCGATAAACTTTCGTTTTTTAATTTCAAATCTGACATCTAGATCAATAATTCCACAAAATTTGAAACTAATGTGAGTTTAAATCCTTACTTCTCACGTAGCTACAAAAAAATAATCGCAAGGGTAAAAAAAATGTAAGTGTTGATCAACTTAAAACTTTTTTGAATAGTGTAATTTTTTACTATTAACTCACCAGCAGCCGTATTCTCATCTTTCCGTTAAGCTTATCTCATTCAGTTATGTATTCTCATCTTTCCGTTAAGCTTAACGGAGCGTTAGTAGAAAATTTCTTTTTAACTACATTAATAAAAAAAGTTCTTTAAAAATATAATTTTTTAAAAATAAATGTTTTATTTTAGTATTAAAAAATTTAAATAAAGTTTTTGTCATTTCTTCTCTTAGAAATATTGTAATGAAATTTCAGACAAAAGTTCCGTTAAGCTTAACGGAGAGATAAGAATACGGCTGCAGAAAGTTGAAATCTGCGGTCATTTCATTGGTTAAATTTTTGAAAAAACGTATTTTCTTCAGAAGATACGTTATTTCAAAAAAAATTTAATCGATTAGATCTAAGTAAATGTAAACTACAAAACTTTCATAATGTTTGCCATGTCATGAAGCGTTACTTAAGATTTTTAAATAAAAAAATCAAATTTATTAACACGATAAGTAAATGTCATTTGGAGTGCAGACTTTGTATGCCTTTTTTTAATTATCTAATTGAAATTTCAGTTGTTACAAAATTTTTCGCCAAATAAAAAAACTGAGAATCTGATTAAATACCTGTTTTTGGTTTGGTTTTTATTTTTTGAAGTATTTTAATTTTAATTTTCAAAGTAGTATAAAATCACTGAGCATTGCGGAAGAGCGATTAACAAGACTCCACTTTTCTTACCTGCTGTTTAATTAACCAGAGCAAACACCAGATCTTTTCATTCTGAGGTTATTGCTCATTGTTATTCGTTGTTATTGTTATTACATGTTATTAGTAATAAACAAATTAAAGGTTACTTTTTTAAGGAATGAGTTATAAATAAAAACTTAATTATAAATAATTTTTGTTAAGCCAAAAAGTTTATAAAGGTTTACCACATAAACAAAAATGGTTTTTGATCATATTAGTGCAAAGCAAAAAAAAAGTTCCACTGTGTATAAAACCCTGTATAAAAAGTTCCACTGCGAACCTTATATAAAAAGCTTCACTGTGAGCCTTGTATAAAAAGATTCACTGTGAGCCTTGTATGTGAATCTTGTATGTTAACAGTGTAAATCCTTTTGTGTTCAAGTGAACCCAGCAAAAAAATTATAGAAATTTTACAAAATAGAAATCAATTATAGAAAGTTTACAAAAAAATCGTCAAATAAATAAAGCATCTTCGAATTACGAGTTATTTAAAATATATACATTTAGATGATGTTTATAGAGTTCTTTAAATATTTTACCATTAAAGTTTTTTGCTTTTTGCTTGTAGAACATTTTTGCGTAATATGTTTCTTTGATTAGCATAATGTGATTCGGCTTTATTTGGTAAATTTTGAAAAAATGTAGTGTAAACATGTGATTTTGGTTAATTTCATTTTAATTTTCCATCAGACTTTAACAAACGCCAAGTTGTCCCTGGTGAGTGGTAATTGGGTGGTCTCTTTGATCTTGCTACAAAATATTTTTAAATATATAATATTTAGTGTTATTGGTGATAAAAACAATAAAAATATGCTATATAAATACGTACTTTAATTTGTTGGTACATAGAAAATTTATCTCCATTGAACTCCATTTTTATCTTTTTTAACGTTTGTAACTTTTCTTCTTTTTCAAACATTACCTAAATTTATTTTAATTTATAAGTTTTATTTATAATTTTAATCCATTGCTTTACCCTTGGAGCCCTCACTAAAACATGGCGCCCTCAAAATAATTTAAAATATGAATAAAAAGGTGATATAAATGAATATATAAAATTAAATTTTAAATTTGTATTTTTTGCCTACTTACTTGATTTAAAAAAAAAAAAATTTCTGCGCAGCAGACAATAAAAACTAGTTGCCATCACAAATAACCTTTAAAATTTTCCAATTTTTTGATGTCATCATCAGAGTATGCCATCATCAGAGCATTTTTTTAATCGATTTATTTTTAAAAATGTAAAAAGTATTACGGAAAAATTCAAGTGTTTTTCAATAGAAATAAAGTAACTTATTAAACTCCACAAAAGTTTTTTGTATGTCTCTGATACTAATTTTTGTGAAACTCGACATATGCTTTTCTTAAGCAATACCTAATCCTGGTTTTTAGTTGGTCAATATTATTAGCAGTCCAGACATCCATGTACACTTCTCTTTTAAAGTTTCTCAAAAATCCTAAAAATCTGTAAATAGTTTAGCAGTGATGATGATGATATTGTAATGACTTAATCAGAATAAAATATTTAATATTTTAAATATATTAAATATTTTTAGGTGAAATCAGAAATAACTTTTTTATTTTTTAAGTATTTTTGCTATAATGACTAGCAAAACAAAAGCTTTCGACTTTATTTTACTGTTCGACTGTATTTTGTTTTTACTATTTTTTTTTTTTTTTTTTTTTTTTTGACATATAAGTATATATACATACAATCAATATTTCAGATAAATACAGATGGCCGGGGCAAGAAGAAGACACAGTTTGTCTTATCACCAAGCCCCGAGAATTGACTCCGTAAAATAAAAACTATTACTTACAGCATATGTAATTGTAACCAGTATATAAGAAATAAGATTTTCTGGTAATAAACATATAAAAAGAGTAATAAATACATAAAAAACAAAATTTTGCAAAATAAGTTTTGTGAAAAAATTTAAATTCTTTTGAAAAAATCAAATAAAAAGTTACAATAATGCATTGCCAAAAATCTTGAATGAGTTTGAAGCCACAAAATGATTTTTTGTTTGAACGTTTTTTAAATTCAAATTTTCTTCTTTAGAGTCAAATTGAAACATTCGATCAATTAAAACATTTGACTGATTTTAGTCTACCAAATGGTTTAAAAAGTTTATTTGGGATTAATAAACTGTATAATTTGGCTAGATAATCAATAAAATGTAAACTTAAATCGTTGATACTTTAATTTGCTTTATATTCTACATTAACAAAAACTAAATAATAGCTTAAGCAAAAGAGTACCATTTTAACCTAACTATATATGGTAAGGTAAAAGGGTACTCTTTTACTTGAGAGTAGCGCATGAAGTGACCTCATCCAGATAGGGGTCACGCGTTAACTTATGCATAACGTAGCGCGTCACCTTTCTCGCACTTATTGGCATATGTTTAGATGAGGTCACCTCACACACTAATCTCATTATCTATAAATATCGGTATAAAATGGACTTAGGTGATTTGAACAACGCTCGAAAAAACCTGATGAGCTTTAGTCAGTGCACCAACATATTCTTGATCTATCAAAGTTTTTGAATAACTATAGTTTTTAAATAAATAAAATATTAAATTATAATCAACGGTTTTAACTTTCCGGCAAAGCAAAATAGTTTTTATATAGTTGTATATTTTCTAACAAAGTAGAAGTTTGTATTAGCAAATATTTTTCAAATCAGTATGTTTGTGCTGCATAGAGGAAAACCTAAAGAAACCAGAAGTATATGGTCGGGATTGAATCCGGTCGTAGGCTAGGTCTATATTAGAGTGTCATAAACTTGGTATACCAACTTGGTATACCGCGTCTCTGATAGTACCACGAACTCGGAACTTCTCGCGTATGAGGCGAGCGCTCTACCACTATACCACTACCGCATCAAAATTAAAAAACAAAAAACTTGTAAAACTTTAGTCTTAAAATACTCATGGGATTCAAAACAAAGTTTAAAAGCAATACACCTAATATAATATGGTCAATCATAAAAAACCGGCATACGTTAACATTACTAAAAAATGTCTACTTATAGAAAAAACGAATAGTTTTGTTGTACAAAAATGCAAAAGGGTTTTTAAACAAAAAAAGTGAATGAGTATTCAAACGTCGTCACAAGAACAAATTCGTATAAGGTACCCACAAACCAAAAAAACTAAAGTTTTTCAACGTAGCTTCTTTTCTTTATAAACCTTTATAAACCTTCTTTTCTTTATACACCTTTAGCATGAAACTTATAGGCGTAGATAAATATAACTTATAGATGTAAAAAAATATAACTTATAGATGTAAATAAATATAACTTATAGGCTTAAATATAAAAAAGATATTCTACTAGATATTCTAGTAATAACCTATTTTTTTTTTTTTATAAGTTTTGTTTTTTTATTGCAATTTTTAAAAAAGAAAAAGATAAAGAAATTACTCTGGCTATCTGTTCTTCTTCTTTACGTAGTTGTTGTTTAAGCTGTTCTTCGGTATTTTGACAAGACATTGTCGTTACCTGGTGAGTGAAATTAAGACTAAAAATTTATATATATTTTAGGAAAAAAAAAAATTTTAAACGATTTTTTAAATCAAAAAAATGACGGAAAAAAATACTCTTAAAGTATTATTAAAAATACACTAACCCTTAATAAGTCATTGTTTTTCTTCTGTACTTCAAATAGTTTTCTTCTTGTTTCATCTATCGATAAGTGTTTTTTTTTATAAATTTTTTTTAATTCATTCAACTGGTTTTCTAAATTACTCTCTTTTATTTTTTGTCTAGTGGCTGACTTCTGAAAAATAAAAAATTTAACGAATTAGTCGATTTTTAATCAATTAATTTATCAAAAACAAAAATAAAGAAGTTTTCTTGAATTACACATTAAACTATTTAATTTTATTTTTTATATAAATTCATTTTAGTTTAAAGTAATAAAATATGTTATTAATAAAAAATAGTTATAATATTGTAATTTTTATAAAATGGTAAAAATTTATAAAATTGAAGAAAACCTAATAAGTTTGATAATTAGCTAGTAATTCATTAAGGTGGTAGGGATGCAAATAAATGATCATAAAAAAAATTTTGAGAATTTTTTTTAATGTGGAATTTCACCCGTTAATGTCTGTTTTCATGCAACTAACATTGAAAACAATAAAAAAATATTTCTTGGTCCATATTTACATCTTAAAACACTCTTTAGGTAGCATCAGAGCCCATAGCAACGTCCCTAGTTACTATGAACAGAAGTTTATTCTTTATTTTCTTCTCATATTATATGCCTTATTTTACTCTTAACATATACTAAGGTGTATATGCTAAATGTTTTTAGTAGTCTAAATATTATATTTGGAAGTCACAATCATAACTTAGACAGATAAATAAACTGATAAGTTAACAGTAATGTTGAAAATTTTATACTTTGTATTATTTACAAAAATTTACCAAAAACTGTATTTTTTGGCAGGGAAACTATAGAAATGAGTGTGCATTCAGCTATTATTTATTTTAATGATGGGCGGAAAAGAATACTGAAAGTTTTAGAACACTTTGGCTTAAAAAGAAAATTTTCAAAGGCTGTGGAAACAAAGTTAGATGATTCACGCATTAAGCAAATAGATAAAAAGTTCACAAATGCAGAGAAAAAAGTGTAGAAAAGGGTTGCGAGCCAGAAAAAAAGGATTTTTCAATAAAAATGGGTGAAAAAAAATCAGCAGATTTATATCAAACTGGTTTTTACTGAGGAGATTTTTTAAACATTTTATTTTTGTTTTGCATTTTTCTCTGTTTTTAATTTTTTGAATACTAGCTATAACTCAAAACAACTCCAGATAGAACTGAGCATTAAACTTGAAATTTTGAATTTGTCTTTGATATAATGTAATATTCCGGATGATCTTTGGATTTTGCACAAAACTTCTAATATCTTATAAAAATTCAGTTTATGTGCAAATTTGTATTAAGTGCAAATTTGTACATTTTTTGAAAAAAGTACCAGTATTTATACAAAAACTTTAGTTACTCATTAAGTAAAATGATTTGAGCAAATCCTAAGGGTCATCCGGAGTATAATGTAATAATATACATATGTGCAAAAGGATTTTCAATTTTTTTTATTTTATCAAGATATCATGTTTCAAAAACATCATTTTTAAGGGTCAATTAACACATTTTCCGCCATTATAGATTTTCTGTTTAAAAAATAAAATAAAAATTTTATGCAAACTATTTCTCTTAATGTACTTAACAGTTTTAATAAACTAAAAATTGTTGCAATGACGATTATCAGAAAGTAGTCTATTTGCATCCTTACCACCTTAACATTAGTAATTAACATAAAAATTTCCCATAACAGTTATTTTATGTCTATTTTGTTCCTGTAAAAGATAGGAGCGAAGAAAATATAACGAATCAATCGTTTCATCATTTAAGGATGTTCTCAATTTTGCTACAAAAAGCCCTGCCGCACTAAAACGTCTTTCTGCTTCGATCGACATAGGTGGAATAGTTAACAAAGCATTGTACAATTTGTTCAAATAAATGACTTCCACATCTTTTGTTTATTTTTTCAAAAATGCTTATTTCTTTTTTAGTCAATGAAACGTTATTTTGAAAAGTTACTACTCATCCACTTGATTAAAACTATTTTCATTAACATTCTCATCAATGAGAAATAAACGATGAACAATTCCTTTAATTGTTAGAGTGAATTCATTTCTTGTTGATCGTTTTAATATTTCATTTTTTTGTGTAAGTGTTTTTAGGTAAGTGTTGGGATCTACTATATACTCTAACAAGCCTTCTACATTAGGAGTTCTACGTTCAAATATTTTTCTACTTACTGATTTGTAGAATTTCAGTCTCACTTGATTGTATTGTAGAATTTCATACCAGTCTCACTTGATTGTATTGTAGATTTTCATACCAGTCTCACTTGATTGTATTGTAGAATTTCATACCAGTCTCACTTGATTGTATTGTAGAATTTCATACCAGTCTCACTTAATTGTATTGTAGAATTTCATACCAGTCTCACTTGATTGTATTGTAGAATTTCATACCAGTCTCACTTGATTGTGTTTTCAATTCAGTAAGCAAAAATTAAAAGATTTTTAAAACATTAATTATATTGCAGTCTCGCCTTCCCAAAGCAAGTGAACTTACCTCAATGACTTCTAATGATTCTACAATTTCCTCAGTTTTCTTAATTTCACAATGTATTGGAAGTAAATGAGTAACTAACAAATTTATTAGTACTGATTTTATTATTTCATTTAACTCCAAGAACCGCTTTAGCATTGTCAACATTGAATTCTTGCGTGTACGTCTATCAATTAACATGACATTTTCCTTTCTTGGTACTCTCTCTGCAGAAAATCATTTTTTAAATGTGATTTTTTTAAAAAATTAATTTTATTTTTCTAACTTTATTTATTGATGATGAAAAAACTTGAATAAATTTGATTTCGTAATCAGAAGGAGTTACCTCAAGCCAACTTTGTCCTTCGCTTTGTATAAAATCTTTCTCATCGTCATCACATTCTTGACCACTTTTTAAAGAGTTATCAAGTTTTTTTCAAAATATTCGTCATCAGGTTTTCCGGAATCGACTTTTATAAGATTGGGCAATGAGAGAGGAATACGCGTGTATAGATTAGCGAGAGCTACTCAGTAGTATAAGTTGTCACAAAAAAACTAACCCCTTCCCCTCCCCCCTTCCTTCCGCTAAAATGTGACGTAATTTATGAACAACCCCTGAGGCCAGAGTCTGTATAAATAAAAAGGTTTTATCCCAACTTTAATATGCATTCATTCATAGCTATATGAATTATGCAAACACTGAAAAAAGTAAGTTACAATCTCTTTATCGCCGTCAGAAGCATGCAATACGTGTAACTAATTTTGCTTCTTGTTTTTCTCAACTTTTTTCTGAAATGAGAACACTTATATTAACTCGATATTTTTAATATTTTCGTATATGTGAAAATAATCTTTCTTCTGCCGTTTTTAATGATCTTTTACTTTGAAACCTATCAATAAAGAATTCGACTGTTCCTATTTATATAGGGTTTATACACAGCTACTTACCTTGTGACAACATTGTTCGTGCTAATACGAACCATACTCAGGGGCGAATCCAGCATTTTTTGGTCTTTGATGTCGATAATTCCAGACATGACGCAAATTTCAAACATTTATATTTTTATTCTTATGTCAATTTATTTGAGAAAATAAAAATTTTGCATTGATTATCGCGCACCCCAATTTTGGAATAAAATTGTTATGCCTAATTTTAATTTTGATCGATCTACTTCTTTGCATCTTTTTAAAATTAAGTTAAAAATCTTTTACTCTGCCATATTTTTATTTTGCCATATTATCAAAATTTGTAAATAATATTTATATTAAGGAAATATTTAATTTTATTACCTATACAACAAAGTGGTATGTGTATTTTATTATGTTGTATTTATCGTTACTTTATAACCTATCATTTTGTTTACACTAGTACAAGGATTTTGCTTACACTAAAAGAAGATTGTACTGATCTTCTTTCAGATAACTTTCAAATATTATTAGTATTTACTTATTTTATAAATTGTATTATTTTTTATCTACTCTCATTATATTGTGAAAGCGAAATGAACAGTTTGGTTTCAAAAAAATGTTGTATAACTGATCATGTAGAAGTCAAGTAAATCATTAATATATTCAATAATGACTATTTTACATTATTTTATTATTAATTTGTCAAAAGTATTTCAAAAAAATTCAAAAGCATCAAAAAGAATTCGAATAATATGATAAATTTATAAATTTATAAATTTGTAGATGTAAATTTAATTTGGTTTATAAATTTGTTATTTAGGTGCCCCAAGAAGACCTAACGGTCTTGTCACAGAGTACCGCAGAAGTGCATTTTAACTAGGAAGTTCACGCCTCCTTTCTTACCGTGACGCAAAAATATGTCAAGAACTAGTTTCGAACCTGGATCTCCTTTAATTTTCATCGTTTCATAAATTAAATTAAGTAAAAACTTTTGTTATCCAAACCATGTATCAATAACTTATATACCAAATGACAATCAATTTTAAATGTTTTTAGATTCATTTTTGAAAAAATATATCATGGAAAATTTTTACAAAATCTTATCGGATTGAGGGGACCCACCATTTTTTGGTCTTCAAGATTGCTAACTTCCAGACATGAAGCAAACTCCGAACATTTATATTTTTATATTTATGTCAAATAAGGATGGAAAAAATTGCGATGACTGGAGCCTGGGAACAAAAAATGCCGAATAATTCCCCCCTGCCTCTTGTCCCAAACGTGAGAGCAACAAGTTGATAAAATATTTTTTCTACTACTCTCTATCAGACATTATTCATCAATAAATTTTAATTTTTATAGTAAATTAATTCAGCGTTCAAAAAATATGACCATATAAAGTTTGAATCCCCTCAATTTGAGAGGGTTTCAAATTTATATGGTCCTAATTTTTGAACGCTGAGAAAATATACAATAAAAGGCTTTCTTTTTAAGTTATTAAAAAGATATACATTCTTATGTAATAAAATTGGGGATGTCCATTAATATATTTTAATGTATACTTGTTGTTACTAATTGTATTAAACAATAAAACTTGACAAAAACGTTATCAGGGTGCATGTAAAAAGAGTCCAAAATTTGTTTCAAGTAAAATAATCATTTTGAATTTTTTTTAGACTAAAAAAAAAGGTCAATTCAAGTTTCTAATTAAGTTATAGATGTCAAATATTTATACAACAGTATATCAAAGTAATTTTTAGAGACACAATTGCTGCTTTGTCTATAGCTTTTGTGTTTTTTATTTTCGTCAGCATAGAGGGGCCTGTTGTAGCACCTCTTCATCAAACTTTAAACAAGTTTATTGTATTTGTTTTGTTTTTTTATCACTGAATAATAATAATACTTTAAATTGTTTTTCTAATTATCTTTAATTTGACAATCAACATCGCAATGTTATGAAACCGTTTTAGCATCTTGTATTCTTTCCAACCGTTTCAAATAATTATCCGTGCATGATTAGTTTAATAATTGCTTTAATTTTGTTTTAATTGTTGTATATAATAAAAAAAAAATTTTTCCAACAAGAATTAAGTTTGAAAATTATTGTTTGATTTTTTTTGGGTACGCAAAACAACATAATAGACTCCCCTATATATAATAATCCCCTAGAATATCCCCCTGACATATACATGCATACATACAATCTACTTTAGTTAACAAAAGGGTTTTTAAATAATAATAATATTAAAATATTAGATAATAAAAAATAGTAACAAATATAAAGACAGGCATTATTTTAGGCAACAACTGTAAAAAAAAATTTTCTTGGGGCACCAAAATAAAAAAAGAAAAAAAAAAGAAAAAAAAAGAAAAAAACAAACATTTTAATTGATGTTATAAGTGTTATGCAATAGCAATAAACAAAATAACAATTACAATTAATAAAAATGAATTAAGAATTTTATTTACTCCAAATAAAGTAAAAAATTTAGAGCTCTCCAACCCCTCACGTCTGGTTTAAGTAAAGGTTTAAGTAAAGGTTTAAGTAAAGGTTTACCGTGTAATGAAGTAAACTGTGTTGGAATTCTTCAGTTTTTGCAATTTCATTTAAGGTGTGATATCTGCTTAAAAACTCTTCTCTATTCATAGCATTTTTTTGTATTCTTTGATCAGTTATCATTTTTTGTATAAACGCTCGTCTCATGTCAACCTCCTATAAAAAAGTATTTAAATAAACGCTCGTCTCATGACCTTCTATAAAAAAGTATTTAAATAAACGCTCGTCTCATGTCCTCCTATAAAAAAGTATTTAAATAATTTTAAGTTATTTGCATAATAAAACAAAACAAAAATATAGTGAAAAAAAAGAAAAGTTGTACAAACCTTTACTTTTTCATCATTTTTCGTTTGACATTTATTAGTTGTCGTTGGGTCTTTATCTTAAACAAATTATCGTTCTTATTAATTACTTTTTTCGTGAAATCATTTAAGTTTATTAACAAAAAAAAACAAGCATCTTCTTTACACTATGGATAGTTTTTATCTAAACTACCGTTGTGTTTCCATTACCGGTAAATTGTATAAATTTCAATTTTTTTGTAACTTTTTGTACGTCACTCTTAAGATCGTAGCTTTTAAAAATATAATTATAATAAATAAATATAATTATAAAAAATCAAATTGGCGTAATGACAGAGCAAACGTTTTAAAATTTATTATGATATATGTTCTATAATTTTTATCTTTGATACTAAAAAGTCTTTTTACATAATTCGCAGGAAAGTGACCAAACCAAATAAGCTTCCCCAAATTTGATAGTCTTTTTATAATTTCTTTAAGTAATGAATTAAAATAAGGCCATATATCTTAAAATCACTTAATCAAACACAACTCCAAGTTTTAAAATCTCATACTTTTGTTATTTTGTCTTATGTTTGTTAATTTTTTTTTTTTTTTTTTTTTTGCAATTTTAATTAACATTAACTATTAAAATGCTTTTTAAATCAATCATTATTTGTGATAAGTAGTGGTTATTGAACCACTAGTTATTGATTATTAAACTTTTGATTACTGGTTATTAAATCTGTGGTCAATAGTTGTTAAGGCGAGTTTCCACTCATCCGTTTTTTCACGGGAACGGGAAAGGGACGGGAAAAATAATCACGTGGGCATGCGTAGTATAAGTTTTAATATGTCCGAAGTAAAACTACGCATGCTCACGTGATTATTTTTCCCGTTCCTATCCCGTTCCCGGATGAGTGGAAACTCACCTTTAAACTAATAGTTATTGGTTTTAAGCAATTGGTGGTTATTAGTAATAGCGGTTATTAACACAATAACGATTATAGAACGACTCAAAAACTTATACGACAAAAAAGAAGGGATGAACAATTAATTTACTAAATTTATTAAAGAGTGAAGTTAAGTGAATTAACTTTCAAGCAAGCAGTTAAGATGCTACCTTAAGATTTCAAAAGTACTACACGGTCAAAAAAAGACTTCTTGAAAATTTGAAAAAAAAGTAAGTTTAATATATCAACAACTCGCCAACTCGAGTACAACTCGCCTAATGTAATATTTATTACTGCACGTTACACACCATACGAAGATATCGAAGATCTGTCAGATAAAATTAACAGGGGAAAAATTGATCAAACCCATGAACTGGAAAATACAGACCTAATAATCGTAAAAGATCAAAAATCATTAAAAAAAATGCAAAAAGTAAAAAATGTACCTAGTAACATATTATAAACCACTTATTATAAGCAATAATATAACTTTAATTAATATAAAACAACTTAACTTTTTCCTGTGGGATATTGGTATAGAGCGATGTGACATCTGCTGTTACAAAAATATAGTTAGTAGAGGTGAATTGATGGGACCATTTATCAAAGGGTTTGTTAATTAGTTGATTTTGATTAAATTGTAAGGCTTTAGTAAATTGCAAGTTGATATCTTCCACTGCATAAACCCTCTTTGTGAGTTTTCGGTAATCCGTAAAAAATAGGGCAGCGACAGGGTGTATTAGGTCGTAAAAAGATTGCTGTTGTTTTGTCGATTATGTAGTGGACAGCCATGTAGTCTATTAGAGTGTTAATATCATTTATTATTTTTGACATTGGATTATGGGGCAGGAGTTTATAAGTATGAATATCATTTAATAGTTGGTTTATTTTATTCTCATACTGTTCCTTATCTAAAATACAAACCCCACCACCTTTATCTGCTCTTTTGAATATGATATCCTTATTATTATGTAGTCTCTCCAATGCTAAAGATTCTACGGATGAAAGATTGTTTGTAATTTTGGGTTTGGATTTTTTCATAATTGCCTCAATGTCTCGATCAATCTGTAAAAAAAATTTATTTATGTTTTGGTTATTTGTATTTTTATTTCTATTGTGATTTTTTGCGGAATGGGTGAGTTTATTGATCTTTATCATCTTTACCAAAAAACATTCTTAGATTAATGAATCATTTAAATCTCTCCACTGCCTTACTAAATAAATTACCATGAATATAATTCGAGTAAGGTATAAATGAAATACTTTGTTTAAGATTTGTTGTTCCACTCTTTAATTAATACAATATAATACAACTTAACTTAAACTCTTTATTAACTTATTATAACCAACTTACTACAACCAACTCAAAGAAGTCAACTTGTATAAGCCACAGTCGATTCAGAGGACCGAGTGACCTACACGAGTGACTTACACATGTGTAGGTCATTCCGAGTGTAGATCACCGAGTGAACTACACGAGTGTTTAGTTATCCATGGTTTCCATTTTTTGTATCTGGATTTAGAATCTTTATTTGCTACTTGGTTTCTCCATCTTTTTCTAGAGAACTTTGTCTCCAGCCTTCTTCTAGAGAGTTTCAAAGTAAAGTGTAAATTTTTGAGTAAATATTGAGTTTAAGATGAGCTGCACTTTTAAAACAACTGTGAGTTGCTAGACATCAAATTTCTTATTTATGATTGCTGTCAATCTTTTTGAAGTGAGAAAATTTGTGAAGGCAGAGTGTTGACCTATAGCAGGTTGAGGCTGTCTAGTAATTAATTTTCTAAGATCAAACTATTTTTGAATCGTGTTATAAAAAATTATTGAAATTCCAAACTTTTTGTGGATATTCTTAAAACAGACAATTTAGAAAATTAAAGAACTATACTCAAGAAAGTTAGAGGCAGTTCTCTGTACAGTAATAGTAGACAGTGTATAAAATACCTAAAATGCATGATGCTGGTTGTGATGAGCGTGGTATGTGTAAAAATGTTCATGTTTTAAAAAAATCTAAAGATGAATAAAGGCATCTGTTTGAATATGCTTTAGGTGGGTGGTGTTTATTTTGTGGTTCCCTGAATTAGAAACTAATATTTCCGTAAAATTTGCAAGATATAGTAGTATATTTAGATAAATGAATTATGTGGGAATTTGTAATTATTGTTCTGTGGACCAACCAAATCAATCTTGTTTTCTAGCCCCATAAAAAAATTATAATAGCGGTTTTACTCATAAGGAATTTTATAAAATAAGATAAATATAATGCATACTTTTTGCTGTCTTTTGATAGACCAATAGAACAAAAATAGTTGTGGTTAATTTTAAGGGCAAGAAAATTGAAATTATTTAGGCTTAAATAATAATTATATGAACTAAAACATTTTTTTGGAACATAAACATCTTATTAAAATCATTATTTTAGAGACATTTGTTTATAGATCAAGTCAAGACCATCTCATGGAAAAGACCAGACAATCAGGTTTTGTTCATGAGCTTCTGTCTAAAGTATGATTTTCATAACGTTTTTCGTTAAAGTTTTCATTGTTTCAAAAGTTACACTTTCTCTACTTGAGACTCTAATAACTTATTTGATTAACGTTGCAACCTAAGTAGTAACATTAATTTATATGATTCAGTGTTTTTTTAATGTGCGGATTTGCTCAAAAACCTTTGAGCAAATCCGCCCTTTTAAAAAACAGGGTTTCATATTTATATTCGGGATTCATATTTATTTTCGATTTCATAAATATTGATTTTTATGCATAAACATATTCATTGCGTTTACAAACATCTCACATGTTTAAAAATGCTTCAAGACTGATGTGTTAATGGCTGTCGAAACAACTATTCAACATCAATTTCTATTTTTAAATTTCTAACAAATCCAAGTATGAAAGACTTGTGAATTTATTTAATTTTTTGAGAGATTTTAACTCCTTTAATAAAACTATTATGTTTGAAAAACCTTTCGTTCCTTCATTTATTTATTTTTATACAATAAAACTATATTAAAAAAAAAAAAAAATCAAAGTTAACCACAAATGATTACCGATTACTAAATTCAGTTTGTTGCTAAGCACCCAGAAAGATTCTACACCTAGGATGAAGAGAGGTTCAAAAATGTCGACCTAACTAAAAGTTTGTTTTTGATTTTATTGTTTTGAAAAACTATAGGTGGAGAATGGAGGAGGGAGGAAGGAGGGGGCAATTTTGTAATAAATATGCGTACGTACGCAGAAGGAAAAGAAGGGTTAAAAGCATACATATGCGTACCACGCGTATGTATGCTTTTAACCCCATTTGGATTCAGTCGATTGCTTTTTGAAACCAATAATTAAAAATTGTTATTTACTGTTAATGCGGTTTAAATTTTGGCAAAATTTTTTTGTAAATTGAAAAAAATTTTGCATAACACAAAATATATTTGCAAAAAAATAAAAGTTTAAAATTTGATTTGGCTTTTTGATTTTATATATTCATATAATGTTACAAAAAAATTCATTACATTTTTGTAATGATTACAATTTTGTTTCATTTAATATTCACGATACTACGTTAATTTTTATTTATAGATTTTAATAAAAATAAATAAATATAAAATGAATAAACACATAAAAGTTATTACAATGGTTACCGTTTTTATGTTTCCTTTTTACGTTAAAACTAAAAGGAAAAACAGTTTAATGTTATTTTTTTAAAACTTATTAAAAAAAAAAAAAACATAAAATAAAACTATTTACATTTTTTTGCTTTTTTTTGATTCAAATTTATTGGTTCTTGCAATACTGTCTTGTTTTGCATGAATTTCTTCTGCAGGCCCATCAGACTAAACAAATCAATATTAAACCTTTTTAATCAACAGATAAATAATGTTATTAAGTAAAACGGTATTATAGTGTACTAAATTGTATTATAGTGTATTAAGTCTATATGAACAAAATTTTTATGGAGAAAAAGAGAAATACTACCGGGGAAAGTGAAATTTCTTGCGGAAAAATCAAAATTTGATTAAAAATTTATCTTTAAAATAATTTTCAAATACTTCAATAACAGTGGTAAGTACATTGTTTCGGAATTAGTGGCTGAGTACATTCATGAAAACTTGCAATCTGGCCGGAAAAAACAAGGTGCTATCGTTTCAGTTGCTTTATCAAGAGCTTTGTAATAAATCTTTTGAGGTATCACCTCTATCGTTTCAAGATAGTACATGGTATCACCAATATAGTAATTTTCAGTTCAAGTACGCTGTATTTTCATCGTTATATTTGACGGATTTTTAACTTGTAATTAAAATTGTGTAGATTTTACAAGTTTCCGAAGCCCTAAAATAACTTTAACCGTTAATAGCAGGTGGCTTTCATCAGCAATGCAACCGCAAACCTATAGAGTTTATAAACTTTAAATTTTATTCAAATAAGGTATCTCATTTTCTCTCTTATTTTCCAACAACTATTCCCATAAATCAACTTGTTGTAGTTTTTATCATTGTTTGATTTCACACAAATGTTCTAGTATGTTGGATAGAAATGCATGAACACAACAGTTTTCTATATTGCTTACTTCATAAAGTTAATAATTTTTCTTTTACTACTTAAAAAGCCACTGACCTACCCCGTATTTTGGTCATCTTGGCCCCTTTGTTAAACAACGTTCAACGTTTGGTTATTTGGTCGAGCGAGTTTTTCAAATAAATTACCAGAAGTAATTCTTTATGATACTAAAATGAAACTGAACAAAATTATATAAATAACAAGAATAGAAACATTCAAAATAATAATAATAATAAAAAAATAATAATAATAAAAAAAAAAAATTTTATTATTATTATTATTTTATTATTATTATTTTGAATGTTTCTATTCTTGTTATTTATATAATTTTGTTCAATTTCATTTTATTACAAAATTAATAAAAAGTAATTTAATATTATAAATTAAATTAAAAATAAACATACAATATTACAATAGAAGAGTTCCAAAACTTAAAAACTAAAACATGTCAAATAATTCACTAGATTAAATATGTTAAATAAATGTTTGTTGATAAAATAATTGATAAAGAAATAAAAAAGAATATACATTATATAGAGTACATATATTAATATAGATAAGAGATTTTTAAAAATATAAAAGTAGATTAGTATATTTTCAGTTGAAAAAATGAGTTTTTTGAGATTTTGTTTAAAATCTCAAAAAACAAAAATTACATTCATGAGAAATTAAAATCAAAATTACATTCTTGAGAAATATCTTTAGAAGTATTTAAAACTATACTATTCCATAAAAATGGTCCGCGAAATGTAATAAAAAATTTTCCAAAATTAGTTTGAGAAAATGGTTGTCGAATTAAGTTATCGTTCCTTAAAATATATTTATTTCTATCTTTTTGTAAATACAAGTTGTGAAAAGAAACGGGTAATAGGCGGGTCTTGCATTCATACATAAAACAAAGAATATTAAAAACATTTGTGCTTCCATATCATATAAAAGAGGCTTGGCGTGAGCAAAACGGTCCTTGCAATTTATAAGGCGTTCTACATGTTTCTGTTGCCGATAAAGAGGTTTAAGTTTACTTTTATAAGTGCTACCCCAAGCAATGGTTGCATAGTTAATATGGCAATGAGTTAACGAATAATATAACTGAATTAAGGTATGCTTATCAAGAACATTTCTTATTTTGTATAAAATGCCTATACTCTTTGAAGTTTTACTGTACAAGTAAGTAATATGGCTTTTCCATGTAAGATTTTCATCGATATATACACCTAAAAATCTTGTCACTAAAACTCTTTTAGTAATTATGTTATCGATAAAAAGAAAAGGCAAGTTTCTAGGCAGCTGGTGCTTTTTACCATAGGAATGAAAAAGAATCCATTTAGTTATATCAATATTTAATGATAGTTTGTTTAATCTGAACCATTCGGAAATTTTGACTAGTTCAATGTTCATGTTAAAAAGTCTAGAAATGTTATTATGAGAAAGAAATAAGTTAGAATCATCAGCAAATATAATTGTCATTAGGTTTGAAACTTTTGGTAGATCGTAAATACATATTAGAAATAGGAGAGGTCCTAATATGGACTCTTAAAGAACTCCACATGAAATACTTAACAAATTAGATGATGTGTTATCATCCGCATAAACAAATTGTTTTCGATTATTAAGGTAACTTTTTAACCATAATAATATATTTCCAGTAATTCCGCACCACTCCCACTTTTTAAAAATAATTTTGTGATCAATAGTATCAAAAGCTTTCGCCAAGTCAATGAAAACACCTAAAGTAAATTGAGATTTTTCAAATGAGTCAGATATATTTCAGATATATTATTTGTAGATTGCTGTATAATAAACTGTTTATAGTAAGATGATTATAAATTTTATTGTACAAAATTCTTTCTAAAATTTCAGAGAATACAGAAAGCAGTGAAATGGGACGATAATTACTTATATTCTCAATGTCACCACCTATTAATATTGGTATATTTTTTGCTAATTTTAGAGCTTGTGGAAAAATTCCCTATTTAACTGATATTGAAAAAATCCTAAAGCGTATATCTTTTAAAACATCAAATAAATTTATAATAATGTTGCCATTAATACCACCAGGGCCAACTGCTTTGTTAGATTTTAACATTTTAAAAGCATTTTTGAACTCTTCAAAAGATAATTCAAAAGAGTTCAAGTAAGAGTTTAAAGAGAAACATAGATCATTCATTAAACTGTTATCTATTGGAATTCTTTTTGCAAGATTTGGTTCTATTGACACAAAATATTTATTAAATTCTTCCATAATTTGCCTTTTATCATACAAAAAGTTATTATTATGTTTAACCGTGTTTAGCAAAGTATGAGATGTACATTTTTGCTGCCAGTAATTTCTCTTATTATAAACCAAGTGGGTTTAAAATTTAATTTATATTTGTCTAGTAAATTATAATAATATTTTTTTTTGTTTTTTCTTAAAGCTTTCAAAAAGTTTAGCGTAATTTTTATAAACAAATTTGTTTCTGCATAATAAATATCGATGTCTTCTTCCAAATCGATCAGGTTTAACCGGGAAACACAACTCGTCAATTTTCTCAAGCATTTCTAGGAGACTGTTTCTCTAGGTTTTAGAATCTAAAATCAATTATCTTTTGTTTTACATTTTTATCCGTTTTTGTTGTTCCAAACATTTTTTTCTGGTACTATTTTTAAAAATACACCAGCTGTTAACTACTAATGATCCATTTCTAAAAGTCTTGTTTTTTTGAAACCAATAAATAAATATACTTTTATAAATATAAGTTTTATATTTTTAGTGCATTATGATGTTTATTATGTAAAAAACCTTTTGACAAAGAAAATTTTAATTAGTTTTAAATTACACAATGTCACACCATTACACCATCACATCATGTCTTTAAATTGTTTTGCCCAATTATAATATACCTAATATTTTACCTATAAAAAATATTTAATAAAAATATTTTAAATTTAAAAATACTTGATTGTGTAGTCAAGTAACTTTATTAATAACTACGTATTTTTTTGCTTAGAACTTCCTTTTTTATTTAGAACTTCTTTTTTAATAATAAAGTACGTTTTTTACAAAGTTTTATTATATCTGCTTATATATATAATATTATTATGAATATAAAATGTTTCGATTGTAAAATCAATACATTCTTTCAGGTGCCTTCTTTGTATTTGTTAAAAAGCTTAATTTACTATGACAACAATTAGAATTTGAGATTAGCATTATATAATTATCTTTAAAAAGCATATGTTTATAGACGTTGTTGCTGATGCAATAATTAAATCATTTAAGAGATATCTCTATCATAGCCACACATAGCTCATATGGAATGTGAACCATGTGTGGCTGTGATATTAAATGGCATTAGATCATAGCCACACGTGTGTGCATCAATTGTGTGTACATCACTCGTGGGTACATGACACGTGTGTACATGACACGTGTGTACATGATACGTGTGTACATCACACGTGTGTACATCACACGTGTGTACATCATACGTGTGTACATCACACGTGTGTACATCACACGTGTGTACATCACACGTGTGTACAGTACACGTGTGTACAGCACACGTGTGTACAGCACACGTGTGTACATATTCCAAGCAGTTAATATTTAATACCATAAATGGCTAACATCAAATTTTCTTACTGGTTTATTAAAGTGGCATTTTTGAAGTTTGGTTATGTTACTTTAAATGCTTTTCTTTATCATTTTTTAAAAAATATATTTTAAAACTCTTAAAAACTTTAAAATAAAATAAAATAAACTTTTACTGTTTTCATTTCAAAACCTTGAAGCAACTTCTCAACTTTTGATTGCTTTGCAGCCATGATATGTGCCATTTCTTTATATTTAAGCTGTTCCAAGTTTCTGAAAAAAAAAGTTGAACCTGAAACAGCAAAAACTTCAACAACAACGTCAACAACGTCAATATTTAAAAAAGCATTTAAGCATCCCCAGGCAACAGTTAAAAACAAAACAACTTTTTTAATATATTATAATATAATATAATATATTATAAAAAATGCATTTCATTTAATATATTAGTTGTTATATTTTGAAAATCAATTGCTTCACTTATTAAAAATTAGTTTTGCTGTTTTTTTTTGTTAGCATCTTACATCGTTAAAAAAGCAAAAAGTCTTAAATGTATCTAATCAATAAGATAAGTATAGTATACCCAGCCGGCATTTGGTCTGAAAAGAATTTTTGAAACGTCGAAAGACGTTTAAAAAACGTCTTTTTAGAACCAAATGCCGGCTGGGTAGTAGAATATTTATTTTTCTTACATAAATAAGAAAAACTTACAAAAATGTATCATTTGTTTTAAATTTCAAATTGGATTTATCTTCTCTTATTTCTTTTCTTGAAGCTATTGGTCTTTTTCCGTTTAAGTTATATTCCTTCAATTCGTTGTTTACTTTTAATTGCTAAAAAGTAAATTAATTTAAAAATTTTATAGCAAAAAAGGAATTTTTTTTTAGAAAAATTATCACTTTAAACTTGGCATCTTTAATACTCCCTAAAAAATAATTTTACTGCTATTACCTTTAAACCAATTAAATCAGTTGTAATCGATTACTAGATATTAGTAATCAGTTGTTAGTAGTTATTGGTAACAACTAATCTAAAAGTAAACTTATTAGTTTCTTGTTTTACAAATAAACTTTTATTAAAAAGTAAACTCCTATTGGTTCTTGTTTTAATAACAAAAAAAAAAAAATGCAAGTTGTTTAGTTAGTCAACTAAAAATAATAATAAAATAGCTAGATAAAATTTGGCTTTTTTTTTTTTTGTATGTATTTAGGTGCTCCCAGAAGTCCTTACGGTCTTATCATAAAGCACCGCGGGAGAGCATTTCACAGGAAGTTCACGCCTCCTTCCGTACCAATGTCGCTTGTTAGGCTAGAGCGGGCGTCGAACCTGGGACCTCTAGGTTCTGAACCAGAACTCTAACCACTGCGCCACGGCTGCTCGTATTTAAAGCAATTTATTTTTTTTCGTCTAAATCTATGGAAGGTTTAGACGAAAAAAATACTTTTAATAACGTTGCAATTATAAAAATTTAAATGTTTAAAGTTCAATTTAGTTTTTTAACATTCAATTTTTCAACTAAAAAAAAGCAGCTTTTTTACCATTTCTTATACTAAAATATATGACACGAAAAATAAATGATAAATGTCAAGCATTACTTGTTTATTATTTTAATACGTTATTGTAAAAAAATGTTTTTTTTTTTGTTTTTTTTATTTATATTTTAATTGCACGTTTTTTTATTTATGTTTTAATTGCATTGAAAAAAACTTAATGTCTATGCAATTCGAAGGCTTTTTTTTATTCTAGATTAATTTACCTCATTTTTGTTGCTTGTGGTTTCACTTTGCTTATTAGTAATTAATTCTAAATTATGTTCATTTGGAAACAAATCGGTTTTAACATCAGAATTGTCGGAGTGGATTTTCAATCTGTTCATCCTGCTAAAGTACATAAAATAATTTTTTTAATAAAAAAGATTTCTTTTTTTGAATAATTATTTAAAAGACATTTACCTTAAACATCTTTTATCACCAGAGTTTAATGATCTAAAAATTATGTTTTATATGCTCAAAAAAATTGTTTGTCTGATTAATTTGTAAAAGTCTAATGGTATGAACTTACTGAATAAAAGAAGCGTATTTCAATCCGTCTTCTTTATCTGTATCTAACTTAACATGCTTTAATGTAGGAGTTAATAAATCATACCTACTTCGACTGTGAAAGGTGTCACCAGCAAGTGAAATCATTTATTTATGTTAGATTACTTAAATTTTTACTTCATCTATTTTTCAATATATATATATATATATATATATATATATATATATATATATATATATATATATATATATATATATATATATATATATATATATATATATATATATCCCAGCCGGCATTATTACGTTGTTTCAACGTTGAAATTCGGTTGAAGCGTTGTTTCAACGTTGTTCAACTATGTCACAACGTTAAATCAACGTTACCGTTTAAACGTTGATTATTTAACGTTATTTCAACGTTAAATCAACGTTACAGTTTAAACGTTGATTATTTAACGTTATTTCAACGTCATTATTTCAATCATTGTTGACAAAAAATACGATATAAAATTTATGCGCGCGCAGAAATGGAAGTAAAATTGTAAACATTGTTTCAACGATCAAAGTTATAGAGATTTATAATGGAAAAAAAATGTAAATACTGAACTTATATCATATAGAATTTTCAAGAGATCGAAAACATGTTCAGACGATTTACCTGTAAGAACATTATCGTTTAAAAATTGATATTTTTCGTTTAACTTGGGCTACAATGCTCAAAGACTGATATTATTAAATGTAAATATAATAGTATTATATTTGCATTTAATAATATCAGTTTCAATAATATCAGTTACATTTAATAATATCAATTTCCTTTTTTAATTCTTGATGCTCTATTAAAAAACAACGCTTAGCATTAAATTCAACATAATTTAATGGATCATTTTTTGAAAAAGCTGTATTATTAATACAGCTTTTTCAAAAAATGATCCATTAAATTATGTTGAATTTAATGCTAAGCGTTGTTAATAGAGCATCAAGAATTAAAAAAGAAAATTGGTAACTTTAAAAAAGAACTTTTGCACGAAATAAAAAAATAAAGATTTATTTGAAAATTAACTTCAACCACATCAGTTATTACTATAAAAACAGACAAACTTGTATATAAACATAATCCAAACAAATCGTGTTATTGCAATTTACTTGTATACAAACATTTATTTTAAAAATAAAAGATCTTGCGACTTTTATACTGGCCTTACATCTGTCAATGTGTTTCATCAGTTAGTGCAGTATCACCTTTAATCAAAAGAGATAAAGTGATATTAAAAAAACATTTACTTCTGTTTTTTGAAATTTAAAAAAATCTTCAACTACTTGGACCAAAATAAATGTAATGCAGCAAAGATGAATTTTTAATGATGGTAATACTTGGATTATTGACAGCTGATTTTGCTTACAGGTTTAATATATTTTTAGGATTAGTGAATGCAATATTTTCTTCATTGTTGAAAGCTTCTAGCTCACTTTTAAACCACATGGTTTTTGTTCCAAGTAAAGATGTTATAAGACAGGCAATGCAAAACAGATTTTAGAAATTAAATTATTCAGACTAACACTATATTTCAGATATAACAGAATTTATTATGGAAACACCTTAAAATTTTGACTTACAGAAACTAACAGGGAATGAATACAAACATTACAACAATATAAAAACAGTACCCGTAGCTCCAAATTCATCAATAATTTCTTTAAAAAATTTCTAAAGCTTACAGAAGCTAAATTTTGGATAAAAAAATTACATATCGCAACAACTATTTAGATTGTATTACAAAATACTCTTGTATAATGTATGATTAAGGCTTTAATATTAATTTTTTAATACAAATGAAGTGATTTTAATTAAATCCATTTTTATCAGTCACTTTAAAATATGATGAGTATTTGTATAAAGGTAATTAAAATTTCAAACAATAATATTAGCTTTACTTGTTTTTAAATTATTTAGCAAAAAAATTGTTTTATAATGAGTTCAATTTAAATTAAAAAAAAAATTAATATTAGTTCTCGCACAATTAGTATCAGTTCTCTTATCTATTAAAATTTAGAATATTTTCCAACAATTTTGTGACCTCCATGAATATGAAGGGGAAAGGTGGAAATATGCTTTAAGAGCACTTATTTATACGGTGTAGTGAAAGGTATACCTTTATAAGATATGTAAAACTTTTTTATTCTCATTTTTTATATATTCAAAAATTTCTCCTTGTGTTTTTTTTTTTTTTTTTTTCTAATTCTTTTTTATTAACATCTTCTTCTATTAAATATGTTGGAGCGACTGAAACTTTAATTGATGGCATTTTGTCCAACTTCTAAAAATGCTCTTCATTTCAAAAAGGTGGCGGAAAAGAAAAAAATTTAGATTGATTGATATAAATTTATATTTATAAAAATCGATCTAAAATTTCTTTATTGAAATATTTACATATATTTCAATAAAGAAATATTTTCTTTTTGTCTGCTAACGTTTTTTTTTCAGTGTTAATTCAACATTACAAATTAAAACTCAATTATGAAAAAAGCCTAGGATTGAGTTGATGTTTTAAGTAAAATAAGAAAAGCCCAAAAAGTAACTGATGTAATATTTTTATTTTTTGATAAAAAAAAAATTATAATAATGTTTAAAATTGTTATTAATATTAATGTTTATTAGATGAAGATGAGTAAAAAATAAGTAATGTTTATTAGATGAAGATAAGTAAAAAAATAAGTTACAAGTTATTTTTTGGTCTTGAAAATTGTTGGAATGATAATTTATTATTTATCAAAATATTTTCTTTTTTAATTTTTGTTGTTTTTATATTTTAATTAAAAGTAGATATTATTGTGTCATATATTATAATATACCTTATATTATACTATTATATTTTATATTAATAATGAGTATTTTTGTTTTTTTGTATTTCTATTTTTTTTCAATATTCCATAATTATCTTATGTAGATGTTTATGTTTTAGCAACCTAGTATTCTTTCATTATTTGTCTTTGTTATTGAGCCTTAAGTTATTTGAACATAATATATTCAGAACTCTGCTGAATAATAGAGTAATAAATAAATTAATAAAAATGAGTTTAAAATATAATAAATTTATAAAATAAAGAAAATCTTATCTTTGCTTATAATGTCTACTAATATTATTGTTTAGCAAGTATCATGGTTATAAAATGTTCAAATTTAGCTAGTTTAATTAGGCCTGTTAGTACATTTATATTATGGTTTCTTCATTTTATATTAGTTCATGTAATTTTTTCAAAATCGAGTATGCGGAAAGGAGCTGTTTGGAATGAAGATTTACAAGAAGAAGTAATTCCATCTGATTGGATTAGTGATAAAACTGTTTGTCGGCTTCCAGGTACCAAAGCATTGACTGCACTAAAATGCAGAGAAGAATTGGCTTAAGTTTATACAAATAAAAACTAAATTCTCTTCAGGTATTACATCTATATATTACAATTATTACTTTTTAAATAATGTGGTAAGAAGAGTTATTTTGTTAATACAAAATATATAACTATTTGTATAACTATTTCAATTCTAAAAGAAAGCAAACAGTATTGTGAAAATTTTAAATTCACAACTACAAAAGAAAAATGTGATAATGAGAATGTTGACAAGTGGATGCAAGATTTGCACACAAGTGGAAACTTGGATGCAAATTTTCCACTTGTGTGGTTTGGATGGTTCTCCACAATATAATATATCTCCACAAGCATAATTTTAGATTTACTTCATGTTTTTTTACAGATAAATCAATAACAGTTAATTGGTGGAGTTACCTCATTTATAATCAGGGTGTCTGCAGCTCCTCTAAAATCCTCTAAAGTCCTCTTTTTTTAAAACCACTTCTAAAATCCTCTATTATCCTCTAAAGAGGTAAAAATTTGATCAAAGCTCCTCATTTATTCTTCTTTTTTTAATTTTTGATGGATGTATAATGTTCAAAGTACCCATTCTCGGTCTGCAAAACTGGTTAACGCCTTAAAGTGCATGGAATTGTAAAAAATTGCTTTAGAAAATGCATGCTATTTAACATAACAAATGACATTATTTGATCCCTGTCCAAGCCCCATAAGTGTATAAACATGGACGTTAAAACATTAATAAATGGCCACATAAAATTTCTTATAAAAATTTTATGTGGCCACCCCAAAAATTATTTTTCAATGCTAGAAATGTTTTATATTTTAATTATTAATTTATTTTTAATATATTAAAAAGGTTGTTTTATTTAAATTAAATATTTAAAAAAGTTATTAATAACCAACTAACAGTTATATTATTTTTTAAAAATTCAGAGTATTTTCGAAAAATTATATGGCCTCCATGGATATGAAGGGCAAAGGTGGAAAAATATGTTTTAAGAACACTAATCTATATGGCGTTAAAAAAGATATACCTTCATAAGTTGTAAGACTTTTCCATTCATTATTTATTTTTTAAATCTTCCCTTTTTGTTTTTTTTTAATATATTTTTTTATTTACAGCTTCTTATATTGTACTCAATGGACCAAAAGAACCCTCGGTTAATGGAACATTGTTTTACTTTCTAAATTACGCTTTATTTCAAAAAGGTGGTGGAAAAGAGAAGAAATTTGTGTAGATTTTATTCAATTACATGTAAATATATGTAATATTTGAGTATGTATTTTTGAATAAAACAAGTTTTATCTCATTCTTTAATCATACCTAGCTATTTTAACTAAACTAAACTGAAAAAGTTCTAAATAGTCTAAGTATAGACTATGAATAGATTTAATATCCACAATATACCTTGATAATGTACAGCAACAGTAATGTACATGCATAGTACGTTTTGATGGTGATCATATTTTGACGCACATAGCACGTTTACATACATATATACATTTTGACATACATAGCACATTTTGATGGTGAAAAAGTGTTTTACAGTCGTTTAACGTTGATAAATCAACGTTAAAAAAACTACCATTTTAAACGTTGTATCAACGTAAATTCAACGTTGTTGTAACGTTTTTTCGCGTCGAATTAACGTTGATATAACGTTTGAATTTAACGTTGATTTAACGTTGATAAATCAACGTTGAAAAAAACTTTCATTCTAAACGTTAAATCAACGTTATTGTAACGTTTTTTTGCGTCGAATCAACGTTGATATAACGTTTGAACCTAACGTTGATTTAACGTTGATAAATC